CCAAGGGGTTCTTCGACCCCTCGCCCTTTTCCCATCCCCCACGCTCCTCCCCCCTTCAACAGCCAGACCCCAATAAAGTTTTCAGCCAAGACTTGAGACCCGATGCGTTTCACGATTGGGGCTGAAGGACCTTTCCGTCCCCTTCCAGATTTCCAATCGGTTGTTATTACTACACGTAATGGCCTCCTACTCATAATAGTTCCCTCTCTGACGCCGAAAGCCCTCTGACCGAAAAAGTCAAAACCTGGATCAACGCGGGGCCACCCACCGTTTCAAAAAGGTCCCAAGAGTAGCGGATTTAATAAATAGCACAGGGATCCCATTTCGACGTTAGGGACGCATTTTGGTCCTAGAGAAAACGGGCAGAGGGACCCTGTCCGGTGCTTGTTCCTGACTGACATGAGGCTCTTTCATTAAGGCGCCCGTCAAGGAGGAGGGGGGGAGGACGACTCCGGCCCAGCACGAGCGAGATCTCGATATGTCCGACACGTCCGGATGTCCGGTTCGCCGGGATGTGTACCGCGGCGGGATGTGTACCGAGTGAAACCGAGTCAGGGGCCTCGGGCTCTGACGCGAAGATGGCGGCGCACCGTACCGAGCTGGCAGCGTTTCGACCGCGAACGGGCTGCTCCACGGACAGGCCTCGCGCGCCTGTGGCGGGGTTCTGTTCTTGGGCGAGGGACGACGCGCACATGAAAGCGTTCTTTATTTGGCGGTCCGGCTGCCTCGTCCGCCGGCCCGCCGCGGGCGTGGTTGCCGGCCGGGCCTTCGAACTGGGCGGCTTCTGGGCCGGCCTGTGTGTCCGAGCTCCGCGTCCAACCGATTGCACATCATTATTCCCACATATATGCAGTGATGGAGCGGAAGCATTGTCTGCAAATTTGGCGGGCGGCGGTTTGTTTGTCGGGACGGGCTATAATACAGACTGGGACTTAACGTCTCACCGGCTGCTATGGCTATTTCGAGGCGGAATAGCCATAGCAGCCTCTATTACGCATTTATGAGGCATTCAGTACGTGGGATGCGGTAGTGTTGTGGCCAGGACTCCATCCGAGGATAGAAAAGTCCAGAGTTGAGCACCCTAACCACCATGCCACCATCGCCCCTCTGCGGCGCGAACTGCACCGGTCACGATGAACTCCAGACTGGCGTTGCTGGACCCCAAATTCTTTACTTAGGAGGTTCTGAAGCGTAAAAGGAAGGAAGCGTGTCAAAATTGATGAAGGGGGTGGCGAATGCAAGCCCACGATTCTACCAATCTATTCAGCCTATATATCACAAACCAGCTCAGTGACATACACTCGACTCCGCTGTTCAGATGGTGAATCAACAGCGATCTTTAAGAGCGGCACGTGCGTAGTGTTTTGCGTGATGTTTGGCAGGCAGTTGAATACATTCGCAATCAACGTTTGCTTTTTTACTTCCCATTTACTTGCAACCAGGAGTGCGGTTTCCTATTCAGTTGCAGGGGTAAGTTTGGTCGCCTACCCCCGCCGTAACTTTGGTCGCCGACTGCGGATTTGTAAGAAAGTGATCCAAATTCGGATAGAAACCAATGCGTTGGCATATTATCACGGTACTCTTCGCTGTATTTTCATCGCTCAACCAACCAACTGATTTTGGTAAACCAAGCCCGTTTAAAACGCACCTCACTGAAGAGAAGAATCGTTTGTAGGCTGGGCCATTGAACGTGTCTCACCAGGGAGTAGTATCCGGATTCAGCTGATGAGACAGCGCTCATCCCCTCCCTTTGAAAGTAAAGGCATGTGTAATTCGGAATAAGTCCCGTTTGCAGGAGCGTGTGAAAGAAGTTGAAAATGGAGGAGGGAGGGGAATCAGTCAAATAAAATCACTAACAATAGATGTTAGCGTGCCAGGAGCTTGAGATCTATATGCGCGCCTACCTGGAACAGACATCAAATCAGTCAGCCTTACACATCAGTCATCAATTCCTTCGAAATGAGAAACATCACCATCATCACATCACAGAAACATCACGTCACATACAGTAAATAACGGAACCACATACCGCGGATAATCTTATCCATGGCCCACAATACCAAACAGTAGGCAGCCCGACAAGTACTTTTCACGATTACCGTGCTGCTACTGCCGAATAGCTAGCTATTTGCGATGTCACGAGCCAGTGATCAAGGTTTTGAATTATTTTATGCGCCAGCTGCCAAGGGCGTGCTGACGCAGCAAAGACTGTGCGCTCAAACAAAACCTTGTCCATATCCATGCACAGTGGTTTAACTGGGCAGCACTGCACCCCATGGCACCACTCGTCGGCTGAGGCGGGCGAAATCGGCTCCGGTAGCCCTCTATCGGGCGATATCCGAACCATTATGTTAAGGGTTGCGAGGAAGTGGGACAATATCCCAAACCGTGGATCTCACGCACGCTGGACTTTATGAACACTGTACTTTATGATTGGACGTTTTTTTGTCTTATGAATGCTGGATGCTGCGATTCTGGACTTTTTGACCACTGGACTTAATGAACTCTGGACGTTTCAATAGGCATCCGTCCGTTCCACGGTTACCGTGCAGTTACTGCCGAATAACCAGCTATTTCCAATGCCCCGAACCAGGGATCAAAGTTTTAAATTCTTTAGTGCTCCTGCTGCCAAGGGCGTGCTGTCGTGGCAAAATCTGTGCGTTCAAACAAAACGTTGTCCATATCCATGCACAGTGGTTTAACTGGGCAGCACTGCACCGCATGACGTCACTCGTCGGCTGAGGCAGGAAAAATCGGCTTCGGTAGCCCTTTAACGAGCAATATCCGAACCATTAGGTGAAGGGTTGCCAGGAAGTGGGACAGTATTCCAAGCCGTGGATCTCACGCACGCTAGGCTTTATGAAAACTGAACTTTTCGAACACGGGACGCTGCGAGCCTGGAGTTTATGATTCTCCTCTGTCCAGGGACTTTGGACAGTGTCTGGATGTTATGAACGCTGGGTGCTGCGATTCTGGACTTTTTGACCACTGAACTTTATGAGCTCTAGACGTTTTAATGCGCATCCAGACAGGACGTAGAGTGATGGCCATAATACGCAGACTCGGGAAATAATCAAAATCAGTACCAATGTTTGGATCTGTGCGCGTTCGACAACTTCGGAACAGGGCCATCAGATGCCAGTGCAACACAAATGTCGGCTATCAGATTCGATTTTATCCAGTGGACCACCTAAAACGCATCACTAAATGCCTCAGTTTCAGCCAGATCAGCGATATTCACAGAAACTGCATTCAAGTTGAAATGCCTTTACTTGTACTAGGAAGGAGCAACTCTGCGCACACGATATCGTGGTGGGAGCACTATCGGCCGGCAAGTCAGATCTCGCGTTGGCTAGCATGACCTGAAGGCGCAATACCGACTGCCTCCGGTCTACCCGTATTGATAACCATTACACGGAGGGCCAGGAAATCATCTTCAATCAAGCCCGAAGATTGCAACTGTGTGTATTCGGTAGCACCGATATAGGGCCAAACTGCCAGTACAACACACTCGTCGGATTTTGGTTCCAATTTCCTCTGGTCGACGCCCCGAGAGCGTTTGGTTACTCGGTATAACTATGGGCCGGAGCTCTGATTGGTAATGATTCGGAATTCAAGGTGCAATAATTTTAGTTGTGCACGGAATGGACATCACACAATGTCTGCGAGAGCTCTGTCGGCCGGCGATGCTACTATGACCTTGACCTACATGACCTTCCACGTGTGGTGCATCTATTAAACTTCCTCGGAGATAACTTACGCTCCATACATTAGCCATCACCATACGGAAATATTCTTTCACTCGCGGCCAGCTCGTTAGGCCAATTCACACACCCATGCGCCAGCGTTACTGCTTGTGACACTCGGGTCACGCATGGGCCAAATTCGGTCAGTTTGCGGGGCATCCGCAATCCGTGGCAGGTAAAGCGATGTTTGCAGTCCTGCGGTGTCTCGCATCTCTGAAGATGCGCCACAGCAGGATTCTGTCAACTGGCGTAAACGCGCGCAACTTCACTAACAAAACTTAATTGCACCTTATGTATTGGGAAATAATCTTTCAGCCCAAATGCAGCAGATAACACAACTAACGTATTGACGCACACTAAGCCGAGAGGGTTTGCTTACGGCCTAGCAGCGTCTTACAACACTTACAGCATTGCTACCGTCGATTAGCGTCGCCTTCCAGTCTGGCGTAGCATAATTATCCACCCCACTCGCATACCATCATCATGACCGGGACACAGCGTAAACATGTGCCATGGTCCCGGCCCACATTCAGTCCCGTGCGGGTAATACAGTTTCAGCTATTTCAGGCACCGGCAGATTGCTTTCAGCACACATTGAATGCCAAAACTTAGTTTGATAGAGGTGGCTATTACTAGTTTTCAGCATGCTCCGCCGTTACACGATGCTCACACTAAAGGCTTCAGGACGTTCTCCCAAAAGAACAAAATCCAATTAGAGTTCAAGTTCCCCAGTCACAAACTGTGCTACTGAACACATATATCAGTATACAAAATAATACATGAAGAGATACCACTACATCAGATCACCCAGCACACTCAACAAAACTGCATTTGACAGACTTGCACAGCCACTGCAGCAATGACACGCCTGGCACGCATGCTCACGCTGGACACTTGCCGGCCCTCAGTAGAGGAGACGAGACAGCGAGGGCACGCAGCGCGGCCGTTCCAGGCGGCGCCCACCGTCCCGTGTCCAGCGCTGCCGGCAACCTCGCGCCCGCGACGTCTCCACTGGAGCGACACGGGCCGATCCTGGAGACCGGCGCCGGCGCCGGCCTGCCTGCAGCTTGAGGTGCGTCTACGGAGCACTCCAGTATATCAGAGCTCCGGCACTAGACCACTGCTAGACGCTCCGTCCCAGAGCATTTACAACAATCAACACTAACTATTCTTCAACCGCGGCGCTCCTCTTCCCTCCGTCGCTAGACCAACTGTCATAACTCATCCGCTAGGAAGGAAACCGTCCCACTGATCTTTGACCCCCCCCCCCCCTCCCGTGCTGTTGCCCTATGCGCGGCAGGCCGGCCGATCGGCGGCTGCCCCTCGCTCAGCGCGCTAGCCCTAGTCGGCGTCCTCGACCAGGTTGTCGTAGCGCGAGCTGCGCCCGCTGCGGATGATCCGCTGGCGCTCGCGCTCGCGCGCCATGCTCGAGCGGATGTTCTCGTCGTGGTGGTGGCGGCACATCTTGAGCACGGCGCAGACAGTGAGGCCGACCGAGGCCGACCACAGGCACCAGGCGCCGAACTGCCGGCCAGGCGGACCACACGGTCAGGCGGAAGGGGGAGGGGGTCTGAGGGGTGGGCGACGACGTCAGGCGGTGAGGCCGACCGAGGCCGACCACAGGCACCAGGCGCCGAACTGCCGGCCAGGCGGACCACACGGTCAGGCGGAAGGGCGAGGGGGGTCTGAAGGGTGGGCGACGGCGTCAGGCGGTGAGGCCGACCGAGGCCGACCACAGGCACCAGGCGCCGAACTGCCGGCCAGGCGGACCACACGGTCAGGCGGAAGGGGGAGGGGGTCTGAAGGGTGGGCGACGGCGTCAGGCGGTCGCGGCATGAACATATTTCATCTCTGTGCTTAGCTCAAATGATTAATTCAAGCAGAATGCGCGTAATCATAACCGTTTCCTACACATTTGCTTTCACCTAATAGTATTGGCACACATGCTACAGGAACTTTTCATTAAAATATAGCCTCACTTTCATCAAAAGTAGCCCTTAAAATTCACGCTTACAATGCATATCATTCAAGGACACTTAAGAAACGCACACTGCGTGCTTTTCGCCAGCCGTCAACACGGGCGGAGAGGGGGGGGGGGGGGGAGGGAGGGAAAGGAACGAGGCGTGCTACATTCAGCGGATGGTGCGTGTCCCGACCTGAGCCATGCCGATCTCCAGGTAGAAGTTGGTCGTGTCGATCTGGTCAGCCGCGTCGATCTCGTTCTGCGTGGCGTCCGAGCACCTGGCACAGAGTACCGGCCGTCACAGGCGACCAACGGCCGACGACCCCGGCAGCGGCGCAGCGGACGGCGCCGTGCTGGGCCACACAGGCAGCAGGCAGAGCCAGCCAACATGGATGTAGCAAGGGTGCGAACGACCGGTTTGAACGGCGCGGCTCTGCAACTTCACCTGAGCATATGTGTTTTTTGCCATTGGAACTTAACGACGCACTCAGCTGCTGAGGCTGTATGGCGTTGAACGCTTCTCACCCTGGAACGAAAGGCGGGCAACGCAGGGAATTGAACCCCGCACCTTTTGTTTCCCGAACTTGCAGTGGTCAACGCAGACGCGCTAACCGACACAGAATCAGCACCCCAAAACATTATTCTTTTTTACGTTTTCTGACAACATTCTCAGACTGCTCTCATCAGCCTGATTCATAACTTCCTTCGCACACGCAGGATACGCCAAGACATGTGAAAAGACAACATACATTGAAACGCCCATTCGCGCGAAGATCCATGGTATTACACCGCAGACCAGCCACCCACTATAGGAGGCAGACCACGCATCTGCGAGACGACATCATTTTGACCGAGAAAACGTACTCGAGTATTCAGTGAATATGACATGCTGCCCTAGTTATGATTCCACTAGCTTTTGATAACATCGGAACGCCTCCGGGCATGCCGGGCATGTCCGCAATTGTTCACTGATCAATCCCATGCTTTCGACGGAAGCGAATGTTTCGTTGCAACATCTCGTTACATGACAAGTCCTTAGTGAAACCCGCATGGTTCTGATATTCCAGAGGTTGCACACCGATAGCTTCAATCTCATTTTCGGATTATTTTGATGTAAGACACCAACTGGTTCGACGCTGTACTAGTCCCAGTCAGTTATCAGATATGACGTCACATTTGGCACACAGCCAATAGTGCGACATGGAGCTTCGGCTCGCCACCACAGGTGACGATGTCAGGTCAACCTGGGAGTGCCGAGTGGCCGTCGTTGCCCACCACATTCATGTTATAGAGACCGTGTGAGGAATCCGTCACTAAGCCTGCGCCAGGGTCCATCAAAACAATGGAGGTGCGTTCAAGGGGAGTGAAATAATCTTTTTTTCGTAAGAACCCACGCACAACACAGGATTAACGTTAACTTCCCAGAAAGCTTGTGAGCGACGTCCCTCCACAGCACACAACAAAAATGTGATGACTATGCAAAGCATGGACGATGATAATTTTTGTATCTTTACCCATTTTTCTAGTTTTTTTTTCACGTTGTCGAGTGGTGACGAAGCAGCGCTCGTGTCGACAATGCCAGAGTGAACACCTTGGGAGGCAGGCATATTTTTATGAACCCGGAAACTCTGATAGCATTTTACACACAGGCCAAGGCATCTTCGAAGCAAAATAAGACAGTACCGACGTTAAGATCATGACACAATATGAGACGTGATTTTGGAGAGAAGATAGCTCACATGGCATGATTTAACATACGCCTTTGATTCTGAATGGATTATTTCAATAGTAAAATGATTACATGCATGAATACATAAAATGCATGAAATAAATGAAATGAATGGGTGTATAAATAGTAAACGAATGAACGAAAGACTGAATACAATACGAACACATACTATGTACTTGCATGGTGGTATATTTTGACGACACAATACGCTCTTTTGTTAAAGTATTGTTTCGAAGTCCTGTAACCACCATTCACGTTGCTAGAGGAGCTCAAGCTTATCAAGCCATTAAGTCGATTTGCGTGGTATTTTACGCGGCATACGGCCTCCCACACCGCGCAACGCATCTTGTATTTGTGTGCTCGAGATGAGAATGGCCAGGACTATCCTTTGCCACTAGATTTGACAACTTGGCACTGCACAGACGAGTCGGGTTTGTGTGTGGGGGGGGGGGGGGGGGGGAGGGGAGAGATAAAGCAAAACCCCAGAAGGCCGCGGTCGACGACATGGCCCACGCACTTCCGGCTCGAAGCCACCTAACTCTCAGCTGACAGGCGTACTCACGTGGCGAAGCGCTTGGTGATATTGTTGCACCACACCTCGTACCCGAGGGTGACGAACAGGGCGGCCGCCAGAGAAGCGAACGTGATCACTATGCACAGGATCATGTCCACAAAGGCGCCAGCGAACGACCTGCGGCACGAAAGCGAGTCGTTAAAACTCTTCTGACGATAATAAGATACTGCGGCAAACTTCACTAGTCAGACTGGAAGGCTTTACAGAAGGTGTTATTTGCACCGCATAGAGGTTATAGCGGTTTAGTCAACAAAACGCACCCCGGAAGACAAGGGAGATAACAGACAGTACCGAAACACTGGTGTTTTGGAAGTCAAGGAAAATGGCGAGTGGTACGCAAAGAATGGTGATCACAGTCTTCTGTTTGTCCGCTGTCTTATAAGCTGTGGAACCCAACCAAGACATGGCCAATCACGTATAGTTTTGAAAACAAGCTGTTGGATACCAAAACAATGCAGATACTCAACATACTGCAAGTTTATCCACATTTCAGCAGTCAAAAAGACCTAAGCAAACCAAAGCCTCCCAATGACCCGTTCTTCACAACACGCACGTGGCCGAACTACGATCCCTCCTCAAGACCTAGCTGCGGCCGACACGCCAGCCCAGGCCGCTGCCGCGTGCACCCACGTGTCGGTGTTGTTCCGGAGGAATACAAGGGTGCGTGCCCCCTGCACGATGCAGATGAAGATGATGGAGGCGGCCACCACCATGACGTAGTAGCAGTACACGCAGGAGGCCCAGACAGGCACAAACTGGCCGTCTTCCTCCCGGTAGTCACCCGTGGTGAACAGGAGACATTTGTGCCTGGTGGAGCATGCATGCAGACAAGCATTAATTGATAGCACATTGACAGCCTGCTAATATGATGTAAGCATTGCTGCATTTGTGAACACAAACTAGGGTCAAGCATCACATTCATGGTAATGTATTTTTTTCACTTCATAAGTTACAGCAAGAAATGCAAAATAAAAATGAAACAGCAGACCGTTTGTTATGTAGGTAGCTGACTGTGCTCATCAACATCTTTCAGTATGTGGAATGGTGTGAAATGTTATGCACAGGCATGAATTCAAACACATTTATTTTCAATATATAGATGTATTCAAAAATGCAAAAGGTGCACACATTTTTCTAGCCCACTTTAATGGTGCAAAATTTTTGGATGATGTCAAAGACAAGGGGTGTTGAAAACTGCTATGATGTAGCTGCTATGAAAACTGCTGCTCCCTGCAAACAACCACTGCTGAGGGAACTCCCAGATCTCTTCACTGGGTCTGTACTCAAACATAGCCCTTTGAGGAATTTGTCAAATGCCTAGTAATTTTATATGTGCCTTTCCACTTCAGTATGACATCAGTCACACTGCACTATTAAATCAGAGCCAAAAGTGAGCTCCAAAATCACTCAAACCCACTCATACTGCCACAGAAGGGCTGAGGGAAGGCATTCTAACTCACTGAGCTACTGCAGAGGCAGCCATGGGGATACAATGTGGAACAGTAAGATACAAGGCATACCCTTACCTGAAATCCTTCAGATTTAGCACCATTGGCACCAAAACTACCAGACTGAGGCATATTGACACCAGGTACCCAGTCAGTTGGGCTGCAAGCACCATTGTGTTACCTGGAATATCATACCTGTGTTAAATCATATTGTTGTTTGAAAGGCAATGCTGGGCAATATGCTGTAATAATGTATGACATGATATTCATCTGCATTCCTGGCAGGAACATGGCCAAATACAAAATTATTTGTTTAACTGGAACAACATAATCTTAAAAATCACTGAACATTCATGGTGCAGGTAATAATGGTGACTTAACATACCATGCCATGAGTATGTTCACACCCATGTAAAACAATCACATTTCAAGCAGACAAATTGCAAACATGATGTCCAGTGGACAGAAATAGTTGGTGTTGGGATTGTTGAAATCTAGAGGTAATGTAAATGATATTATTTATCCATGTAACCTTAATTAGCCTGATTGTAACCTGATACCATTGCATCTTATTTAACCATGCAATATTGACCTAATAAACATTGGAAGGTCTGCTCATTAATGATGCAAAAGCATGTCTAATATCTTATGAGACATAGACAATACATTTATATTGGTGCAATTATCTCACCTTCAAATTTCAAATATAATGCATTACATGTTTAATGATGGCCATGCAAGAATGAGGATTAATGACTGTCATGCAAGAATCATGTTTAATGACTGTCATGCAGGAAATTAATAGTTAATACAGGAGTATGTAAGCATAGTTAATAATAGATGCAGAAATAAGTTTTCCTGACATATCCTAAGTTAACCTATCACAAATCTTTGTTTTTTAGACATAAGCATTAAACAACTTTTCATTTCCAAATCATATCATTAACCTTTTTAAACTGCTTTTGGATCAAGTTATAACAAATAAAAAGCAGGTACACACATGATCAATTTCTGTTCGGTTTTGAAAAGCATCATCATGGCCATTCAAGCTATTACTATCACTATTAGTCAAGAATCACATGCATAAAGATACAGGAAAATTGTGCCATCTGCAGGAACATGCACAAGTAGAAGTTATGATGGATATGCAATACCAATATCATAGGCAAAGCAATATTCAAAGTTCATTCATACTGGTGTTCACCTTCCTTAAAACATTCGTGCACATTCATGCACATTCAAACACTACTTCCGTGGGCAAATCCCCCATATTCCAACAACCTTTTTGGAAGTGTACCAGTTCCCAGTGTGGTAATAGCCACTGTTTCCTGAAACATACATTACATCTGTAGCAATATGATTTTTCTCTCCATTCACAATATGCATTTCCACATGTCCAAGCACTTCTCCAAGTGCCTATGGATACTGCATAGCAGCACATCAAGATCAGGTTCTATTTTAAAGGAAAATTGGTAACGACACTGCCCCACAAACCTTAAAGGGAGACCATAAAAACAACATACAGCTAGCAACCAGGTTTGGTTTCCAATCAACCAACGTGACGAAAGGTGAGCCACATATACCACAAATAACTCAATAACTAAACCGTGTGGTCCACAAAGCACACATGTGACCGCAATTCTACCAAATGGCATGATCACCCCGGGCCCTACACACCCTAACCCGTCGCAGAGAGGATAGCACGGACTACACCAACACCAAGGCCACCTAGAACAACAGGAACACGGCAACGCGGAACCCCTATGGCAAGGTGGGACCATGGCCTTCATTGGCGCTTTACACACAATAGCGGTATAACTGCCTACATAAGTGGGCAATGTAAAGGTAGAAAATATCTAGCGAATACAAAATATATTCCAAAATTCCAAAATTTTCCTTTAACACAACAAATGCAAAGACCAGCAAATCAAATAGATTGCAAGGAAAAACAATTTTGCAGTTTTTTGACATCTTATGACTGTCACAGTAAGGCAAATTGCACTTTGGCTCATCTCAAAACAACATTTCACTCCTATTATTAAATCTTTTACCTACCACGATGAGAGATGTCAATACCCCAAACCGCAGTCTGCAATACAGCATAAACATCGGAGGCGCCTGTCTGGCCCAGGGAGACAGGGGATGTACCGTGGGGGTACCTGAACTTCGGGCATCGCAGGGTTTACTGCGACTATCGGAAACATTTGTGGTACACTCGTAAGTTCAAAGCCCTGGTCAAAGCAAAGGCTATGTGGACTTCCTGTGGTTGTGTGCATGATGTCCTGGCAGTGAAACGCTGCAGTTATCGGTGTGAAGAAGGCTGTTTTTTTTGCCCATGCAACGCAACCCATTAAATTTGCACATTATCAATCTAAGTCTTGATCATCTTACCACCTGCATGCTTTTTAAGGTGAATACAATTGCTGAGGTGTCTAGTATGCTAGTGTGAGTGCCTTTGGACATATACCCATGGCAATATGTGCCTGCCTAATAATAGCATTTGTGTGCCAGTGTGTCATCACATCTACTCTAGATGATGCACTTCATGTGTGATCATATTACCATATATTTGTGGTAAATAAATTTATGTATTTATTCATTTGGCAGGCTCATAAGTACTTCACACATTCATTCATTATTTTCTTAATCAGCTCAACATGTCCATTTTCACTGTTGTGTCTGCCTGGGTATGTGCAAACTGATGGTTTTAAGCTTCTAAGGCCTATAATGTTTGTTGTGATTCAGATCTATCCAATTTTCCCTTAGAAAGTCAAAAGTGGATAAAACATTGGTGTTGATATAGGCACTCTTTCTAATTTAAGGATGTGATGTGTTTTTAAGCACTTTTGTAGCTTGCCATGATGTTCAAGACTCCCATTTAGTTTTGAAAGGCTGACATATATTTTTGTATTTAGGATGTCTGGGAATACAACCTAAATGTCATAGAAGCTAGTGGTGAAATTGGTTGAATGTTCCAATATATGTGATAAATACTTGTGTGTTGGATATTTTTGGCAGCTACTCCAGTCTTTTTTCTTCAAGATATCCTTTTTGCCTATCTTCAAAAGTGGCATGCTTAATGCTAATGTCTCATATGACATTTTTTGACAACCATCAATATAATTTGGAATGTCAAGCAATTTTGACCATTTGTGATATGCTCAAGGACTGTTGCTGTCTTTACTTTGTATAGATATTAAGTTTGAGAGGTCCATCTCATGGGTTTCATGTTTAAGCCCATCCCTATGCAGTTTACCAAGGTAGCTTAATTTACATGCAAATAAGGATAGTAAAGAGTGTACGAAAGTATGTATATATATATGGTAATAATATTTTAAAATAATTTTCCCACAGAATAATATTGCATGTTATTTTGACCAAAATACTTAAAGAACAAAGGAATGATAGCAGGATACCTTAACACACATGACACAGATTCAGAAAAAAATGACTTCAGTTGAATTTGGAAAAATAGTCCCCACTTGGCAAAGTATTCTGCATAAATGTACCCAACCTTTCACTTTGCTGTCCAATCCTCCACTGCAGGAAGCAGATGCTTGTATATTTCAGCTGCAGTGATTATCACATTCATCTGCAATGTAGTTGTCTGTTGCATTGAAATGTCAGCATGGATCTCTCAGTAACACATTGGTATCTCAGATGATGTGGTCTTTGTTTAGTAAGTGTGCTTGTGTAGCACATAGTCACTAACAGCCATCTCATGCTGATCACCAGCTACCCCAGTGCTCCCTCCTCTCCATTCATCCCCAACTGTGCCCAACATAGCGTCGCGCCTCACGGGTCACCCCCGCCCACCGCAGGCCAGTCCGATGCGCGCCGCTGCGTAGGCGGCCGGGAGCCGCGGCCAAGCCATGAGCGGCGACATGACGCTGCGCTACCAGCGCCAGCTGGACGCCCGCTGGCAGCAGGTGGACATCCAGGAGGTGTTCACGCGCGACGGCCTCTGCCGGCTCTGGAACCAGCTGCTGACCGACGGCGAGCTGACGGGCGCCTTTAGCGACGGCCTTGTCAACGCCGCCGGCGCCGTCGCCAGGAAAGGTACGCGCGTGCCGCGGCCGTCCAGCCAAGGAGTGGGGCCTGAGGGGTGTGGCCGCGTACCGGGCGGTTCGCGTGTGGTGGGCTTGGCACAGCTGTGGTGCCAGCCACTGCACTGGGTGGAGTGCTGTGTTGGTGAATTTGCAAGATCTGTTCCTATTGTGCTGACCTGCTTGAGTGTCGCATTTAAGCCCATTGGTGCGCTCCACTTACCATGCAACCTGTGGACTGCATCTGTTTCCATTATGGCGTCATTGGTGCAATAGCTCGGCACCGTCCACACTAATATCACCATCCTGCACCAATATCACCCAGCACCAATAGCCCAGCACCAACAGCCCAGCACCAACAGCCCAGCACCACCCACATCGTCCGTTTCTGTCCAGCAAACGACTGTGATACCACGGCCAGCGGAGCAGTTAACCTCTGCGGCCTTCCGGCAGGCGAAAGCGGTCACTTCTACTGCGGCGCGCGCTCGCTGACATGTCCATGCTGCGACGGCATCTGCGGCCCTGGCTATGGCTGCAACTGTGAACCGTGCCAGCAGCTGGACCGCGAGATGGGCGGCGAGCAGGCCAGCGAGACGGAGCCGCCGCAGTCGGCGCGCGCTCAGGTGGGGGTCAGACCCGCCGCCGGCCTCCGCTCGGGACCGGGCGGCGCTGGCCGGGCCGGCCGGCGCGCGCTTCACGGCCCGCAGGCGGGGCAGACCCGGCAGACTCGCTGTGGTCGCTGTGGTCCGTCACGCATGCACTGGCAGGCTGCTGTTGTATGACGCTTCCGTTGACTGATTCGCTGTTCCGGATTGGTTGGTTGTGTGTGTGCGATCCAAACGTGTAATCCCGACGCCGTGGTGCCTCTGCGCGTACTAGTTGCATGCACTAGCTGAACGTCGCTCAGCTTATGCGGGTTTTGAAGTCTATAAAGTTAACAGGTACCATTTTAGTGCAAATTAAGACCCAGTGGAATCAGCTCAGAATTGGTGAAGGCTTTCTGGTGAAGGTGAAGGATGTCATCAGTCCTGACCTGGATTATTGCCCCCACACTTTACGAGGATATGGGATAAGACAAACGTACTTTTACGAAACGAGCAATGTTCTAATCTTAAAGAGATCACGCAGCTCCATAAAAGCGTACCCCTTCGGCCACGTCGCCCAGACAAGCCACTTAATGGCATGCCCATCCAGTGCTCTCGTACGCAGAGAGCGGGTGTGTCCGTGTCGGTGCGGTGCTGATCCGGGGCCGTCCCGCTCTCCAGCAGCAGCCGTGGCAGTGGGCAGAGCGGGCGACGCCCGAGCAGCTGTCGGCCTGCCTGCGCGCGCTGCTCCGCCAGCAGGTGGCGGCCGCCGGCCAGGCCAGCACCAGCTGCCTCTCGGCCTGCCGGATCCGGCAGCGCGTGGCCGTGGTGCAGCGCTGCTTCAGCGCCCTACGACCGCAGCCGGCCGCCCGGCCGGCCGACGCCGCCTCCTCGCCGGCCTCCAGCACGGTGAGGGCGCCGGTCCGGCGGGCTCAGCCTCAGCAGGCGGGAGACGTTCGCCCAGCCGCGCCAGTGGCGGAGCCAAAAATCCGCCTGTTGTGTGCTGCGCGTTGCCTTGTAGTGGCTCTTTAACGTAGCATGATCGCTCGGAGCGGTGTATCACACAAATGCACAAGGTTGTGAAGTTTTGTATTTAAAAAGGCCCAGGCATGGCCCCGGACATGCATAACAGTAAACACTTTGGCTGCGCCCCGGAGACTCCGGGGATCTTCAATTATTGGCATTGCCGCACGTGTCACGCCTGCACGCGGCCGTTGACCGCGGGCGGCGCCGCTAGTGGTACCCGCCGGCGGCCGCCGCCTTCTGCCCGCCTCCCGAGTACGTCACTTGGGCGACGTAGCCGCCGTAGCCGACATGGTCGGCTGTGAACTCTACCTTCTGGGTGCGGCCGTCGGGCAGCGCCACGCTGTAGCCCCCCTTGCTTGTCCGGCCGTCACTCTTGTCTCGCTGAGAGAACTTTGGCCCGTACTTGTGCTTTACGTCCACCTTGTAGTCGAACTGGTACGGCCGGGGTGCGGCGTAGCCGCTGCCGTGTCCGCCGCCGTGTCCGCCGCCGTGTCCCCCGCCGCGGCCGCCGCTTTGTCCTCCGCCATAGCCTCCACCCTGTCCTCCGTCGTGTCCTCCGCCATGACCTCCGCCTTGTCCCCCACCTTGTCCTCCGCCATAGCCTCCGCCTTGTCCTCCACCTTTCCCTCCGCCGTAACCTCCGCCTTGTCCTCCACCCTGTCCTCCGCCCTGTCCTCCGCCATAACCTACTTGTCCTCCACCCTGTCCCCCGCCATAACCTCCTCCTTGTCCTCCACCTTGTCCTCCGCCGTAACCTCCACGTTGTCCTCCACCTTGTCCTCCGCCATAACCTCCGCCCTGTCCTTCGCCATTTCCTCCGCCGTAACCTCCACCCTGTCCCCCACCCTGCCCTCCTCCCTGTCCTCCGCCATAACCTACTTGTCCTCCACCTTGTCCCCCGCCATAACCTCCATCTTGTCCTCCACCTTGTCCTCCGCCATAATCTCCGCCCTGTCCTCCACCTTTCCCTCCGCCGTAACCTCCACCCTGTCCTCCACCGTGTCCTCCACCTTTCCCTCCGTCGTAACCTCCACCCTGTCCTCCACCGTGTCCTCCGCCCTGTCCTCCACCTTTCCCTCCGCCGTAACTTCCACCCTGCCCCCCCGCCTTGGCCTCCGCCTTTCCCTCCGCCGTAACCTCCACCCTGTCCTCCACCCTGTCTTCCTCCCTGTCCTCCGCCATAACCTACTTGTCCTCCACCTTTCCCTCCGCCATAACCTCCGCCTTGCCCTCCACCTTGTCCTCCGTCATAACCCCCACCCCGTCCTCCACCTTTCCCTCCGCCATAACCTCTACCTTGTCCTCCACCTTGTCCTCCGCCTTGTCCTTCACCTTGTCCTCCGCCATAGCCTCCACTTTTTTCTGCGTCGTAACCTCCCCCCTGTTCTCCGCCGCGGCCTCCGCCGTAACTTCCACCGATTTCCACGCCCTGTTCTCCGCCATAACCACCTTGCACTCCACCCTGTCCTCCACCATGACCTGCACCTCGTCCTCTGGCCTGTCGTCCGCTATAGCTGCCACTTCGGCCCCAACTCTGTTTTGCACCTTGTCCTCCACTGTTTCCTCCACTTCGACCCCAACTCTGTTCTATATCTTGCCCTCCATCATACCGTTCACTTTGTCCCCAACTCTGTTCTGCACCTTGTCCTCCGCCATGGCTTCCAATGTGTCCCCAACTCTGCTCTGTACCCTGTCCTCCATCCTTCGCCCCGTCATAAGCTTTGCCTTGTCTTCCTCCGTGTGTTGCGTCCAGTCGTACCCCGTAATCCCCACTCTGTTTTCCGCCCTGCCCCGCTTCATAAGCACGACTTGGTTCTTCCTGCCAGCCGCTATAATCGCGTCTTTGTTCTCCCCTTTCTCTTTCCCTTAAGTCTGCACCGTCTCTGAGGCCGCTGTAACCAGCGCCTTGAGCAATGTCGTAAGCATTGCTTTGCCGTCGGTCTACTTCGCCTTGATATGCTTCTCCTCGACCTGCTGCGCCTTGACCTCTGCTATGACGGACTTTTTCCGCTTTACCTCGTCCACTTGCGTCACCATCACTTATCCCTTCAGCTAGTTCTCCTGGGCCACCGGCATATTCCACACCTTGTCCACTGTCTTGTCCACTGCTGTAACCGTCATCTGGTCTTCTGCTCCGCCTTCCGCTATAACCAACACGTCGATCGCCATTCTGTATGCTACCGATGCTGTAGCCAGCATTTTGTCCACTGTCTTGCCTGCTACCGTCGGTGGTTGTGACCGCGCAGATAATGGTTATGACGAGGATCTGCCGGAAAAGTTGCCGTTAAAAAGTGTGTTGTGTCAGGCGCCAAGGGCTTTGAGTGACATGAATACATTAGGACCGCATGTTACTCTGGGAGTTTGCGTGCACAAGGGTTTGCGCGACAGAAAAGTTGTGTACATTCTTATGAAAGATGGTGCGCTGGGTGTAGGTTAGGTCAAATGTTTCGTCCCAGCATGCCGTTTGTTTGCTCCAAACACAAGATCTGACAGCAGCGGAGGCCCGGCCGCGCCTGTCGGGTCCTGCTCATCTGGAGCCGTCTGTAGACGGGCGCCGGCTCTCACCTTCATCTCGATCCGCCGCGCCACCACCCCGCTCCTCAGCTGCCGCCTCGTGACTGCCCCCGCCTCTCGCCGGCCCGCCTTTATGGCGACCGGCCCGTGTCACGGGTGGTGCCGGGGGCCGTGACGGGCGTCCCGGGAGCTCCGCCGGCGGACGTGAGCGGCCCGCCCCGGCGACACGACACATTGGCGCAACAGCACAGGCTCCCGCCGAGAAGAGTGCTGCGACACGGCTTCTGCTGCCTGTTCGTACATTCAGTGTTGGTTTGACGCCACAAAACTTAATCCCGTCATTGCCTTTATTGCAAAACACGTCGTCTTTAGTCAAGGGCGACGCTATCTCTACTGCAGAGCTGTACGGGACGTTTGTGCTACACGACAAAAGTCATGCTTTAAGCACTTGTACAAGTCACCGCTTCAACTGCAAAAACGTATACGACCTACCTATACCTGACAGCTCTCCTACTGTCAATGCATACAACGGTCAGCTGCGCATGTTTAAAGAACGTTTTCCTGACCGCAGAAGGTTGTGGCTCGCGAAGACGTTTTATGGAGGTGTCAGGTGATATTATAGACTTGTGCCGCCGAAGAAAACAGCGGGCAGAACTCTCGTAGTGTGAAGAGGCGTTGCAGCACATCTGGTCGTTACATTCCGCCCATTATGCCATTCGTCCACTGCGCCAATTACCGCGCCACGAGGTGAGCATAGCCGGTGACATGAAATCGGGCGAAGTCGCAGGCCGCCCCAGAACAGCCGTGTAAACCAAGATATTTGGATACCTAGCAGGGGCGTATGAACAATTTTGCGGGTAGGGGCAGCATGCGACCGGACTGGCCCGCAGTTAAAAGCCGGGAGTGGCGCGAACAACAGTGATTAATTGATCACTCTACCTTATTTTGTTAAGTTGTCGTGCATCACATACAAGTCAAGGCTGCAAGCATGCCATAAGCTGGCCGTAGAGTCATTGCAGTAGATACAATGCCGCGCAGAAGTATTCCATGCGCAAGTTTATCGGCTGCATTGATTGCAACAGGACTAAAGTCACGACACTATGCAATGACCAACGGCACTCTGACTTCGCGCGCCCACGTGTATGTGCTGTGCATGTGTGGTCTGTCTCTGATTCTTTTGTGGCGGTCTTGCTATGAGTAGAAGCATTGACGGCCATGCGTTTTGAAGGGTAAGGCTCTTCGGGTATCACTAAAAGCGCGTGTAAGTGCAGGCGGTACAACTATTGTCGCGTAGAAGTGAAGATCGTAGAAGTGTTTGGCGCTTAAGTAAGAACGGGTAAAAGTTTTTGAGGAATGTATTTTTCCGTGTAAAATGAATTATACGTATTAGTGTAAGTGATAAGTAATTCCCAGACACTTCCCTCAATTTTTCCTCAGAGAGATGTCAAATTGTCTCCTATTTCCTGCGAGCTTGGACCAAATACTTGCGAAATCGTCAAGTATCTAGCATAAACCTCTCGGCTAATCGGCTAAGAAGGAGGCATGTACCCCCTTTTCTGTCCTTTTGGCTACACCTCTCATAAAGCTGCTTACAAATGAACATTGGAGAACCTCTTGTGAAAAAAACAATGGGTGTAGAATTTTCGAAGTATGAATTTTGTTGAGTTACTCAGGCACTATTTGTGCGTGCAGGTAATCGCTACGACAAGAATGTTGCGTATAGCTGAGAACGGTGTAATTTTGCTGTAACACTAGTAATAAGTGTTATCTTTTTGGAGTATTAGTGTTGTTAGGCAGTATTAATGTCGTGTACAACTCTTTGCGATAGCAAAGAGTTGTACACGAGTCGCTTATCAGTAAGTCCGTCGAAGTCGTTGCAGTAGAACCAAGAATCGGCGCATATCTATTGTCGCATTTCTGTTGGTCACGCAGTCTGTAGCAGCAGCAGACTGGCGACACGGGCCGGCCGGTGGGCCGCGTCGGTGTTCCGGCCGGCTGGTGGTGGTCACGGCCCGGCGCCGGGCGCGTGCTGCGGCCGCGCTCCACATACACACAGTTTGCCGAGCTGTCGTCTTGACGAAACCGGCGCGCACCCTTTCTCCCTTTCGGTTTCGTGCGGACGAGACGTCACGTCTCAGGGAGGGCACTGGTTGGTCGGGTGCAGGCGAAACCACGACGCTTCATGTTTTGGGCGTGCTTCTTTTCCAGAAGAAAATCGGGGCCGACGCTGTTCGTCGCCTGTGTCGATTATGGAGAAGCCACCGTCAGGCTTGGTGCCTGTGGTCGTGACTGCGCCGGCGGTCGGTGGCAGAACGATGGCTGAATGTCTGGGAGACACGGTCTGCCTCTGACCGTGTCTGTGTCTGCAGGTGGTCTCGGGCCGTTGTCTGGGAGCCCGAGAGCCCATGGTCTGCCTCTGACCGTGTCTGTGTCTGCAGGTGGTCTCGGGCCGCTGTTTGGGAGCCCGGGAGCCGCCAGCCCACAGTCTGGCCCGGGTCGGCTCCCGCGCCGCCATGGGTTTCGCCATCGCCTTCCTCCGGCGGGCCTGGAGGTCAGGAGAGGATGCCGACATTTGCTCCGATCTACTTAAGGTAAAAGCTGCGTTGCTTTATTAATTTTCTTAAACTTAAGGTTCAGTTTTCAATCCCCCCTTCCGATTTGTTTGGTGGGAATGTTCTGGTCATCGCTTAAACATCATCCATCAACGCGATGTCTTTGATGCGTCTCTGTGTGTGGTGGCGGTCTGATTACTGAGCGTCTCAGATGTGTCGCCACGTGTGTTTTTTCACGTCCTTCAGGAGTCTCTGGACGCGTTGCGGTACCTGCCTGAGGGCAATCTGTTCGACGAGGAGTCGGTGTCGCCCGTCTGGCTGGAGGTGGTCGACAAGGCCAATCGCTTCCTGCGCTCCGTCGTGCTCGGGTGGGTGCTGACTGCCGAGCCTCGGAATGGCGGCGGGATGATGGGGCAGTTCGTGCAGTCTGTCGAAGTCACGCCACGTGTGTTGTGAAACGGTAGTCAGAGCGTTCAACTATTGTTTCGTTAAGTGTTTCTTGCAAGTTCCGGGGATGAATGCATGTATGGAAGATACTGATGAATGATGAGTGTGTACACGCGGGGAATGATCGCTTATCATCTGGAAAACGTCACTCGCTGCATATGGTAATGCAGTTTTCGTGAAAATGAATGAAAGTGCTCCAGAATTGCATCATACTTATTTTAGCTCATCACCACGGCTAGCAGCATAACAAAAAAAAAACACCGCTAAATTTAGAGATTTTCCACTAGTAAATAAATCTGATTGAGCCTGGTGAGAACTGTACAGGGCCCACTTCATCTGCCCAGTATAATGTGCCTATGTGTGCAGGCAAACCACCGTCTCTGTCCCCGGGAGACCCGTGCTGAGCTGTCTGTGCGCGGTTGGCTGGTAACAGCCCGTGCCTGCGCGTGCCGTCAGTGAGGTGGGCGGCGTGCCCACGGCGGACCGGCACCTGGCGCTGTCGCTGTTGCTGGAGCTGGCCGCCCAACGAGCTGCGCTCAGCCAGATACTCAGCGTGGTGCTGCTCATCCTGCAGATCTGGCACGACGCCGGACACACGGCCGCCGACAACAGGTACACAGCGGCGGACACACGGCCGCCGACAACAGGTACACGGCGACGGACACACGGCCGCCGACAACAGGTGCACAGCGGCTGACACATGGCCGCCGACAACTGGTACACGGCGGCGGACACACGGCCCCGACAACAGGTACACAGCGGCTGACACATGGCCCCGACAACAGGTACACAGCGGCAGACACACGGCCGCCGACAGCAGGTACACAGCGGCGGACACAGCAGAAATCAGACTTAGTTAACGCATTGTCACCGCACAGCTTATATTGGCCCCATGAGACGCGTCGCTGCGCTCGGTGGTGGTGGTTCAGGTACTCCGCGCGCCGCCACCTGTACCTCTTATGCGGTGCCAGGCATGGACAGAACAGCTTATTCACCAATTTTTAATTTGTGCTGTTGGTGCTTGAACCATGCTCCTGCGTTATTGGCCAGCTTTTCCTTATAATTCGTTCAGTTATCTTGAATGGTATATGACTTGGTTGTGTATTCTCTATCCGTGCGTAGCGTTAGCTACAAGGGATGAGGTTAGACGACGAACATTCATTTTCCTATATCCCGTGCACGCACCAAGTCAGGTTATGGCCGCGGCCACCTCCCTAGCTGGCGCCTGCCATCGGCCGGAACCCGAGCGGGCCACCCAGCGACAGCCAGCGTCAGCGGCGGTGCCGCCGGGCGGCTGACAGGGAGGTGTTTGTTTGCGTGCCGCAGGACGCGTCGGCACGGTAGCAGCGCGCCCCTGCTGCCCGTGCTGCACCGACTGCAGGCAGCGGCGGCCGCCGCGGCCGGCCAGGGTTCAGCCGCCGCCGCCGCCGCCCCTCACGAGCTGACGCCGGCCGCCGTGAGTGACGCTCGGGGGTGGCCGAGTGCGAGGCCGGTGACGTGACCTATGTGTCTGCCCGCCGGTATAAACATGACGCCCCACGTCTGGCCGGCGAGGGCGAAGAAGCAGGGAAGACCCGGCCAGCGCAGTCAGGATCAGTCTCAACTGTTTATCGCAACCCAATGGAGAACCTGCTGCGAGGCTGGGGCCATTATAACAGGCAGCGACCCTTGCATTGTAATGACAATGTGGTGCAGTGATCGGGGTCGTTTTGCGATCACGACAGCGGACTGATATTAGCTCGAGCGACGGTAACGATTAATGCAAGTCCGTCGGTATTTGCTTGCTGGACGATAAAGCTGATGCACCAAGAGTAGCCCATTGCCATAAAAGGTACGCACAAGCCTTAGCTGCTACCTTCGCGGGCCGCTAGTGGCCCAGTGCGTGTGATGAAGCGAACACGCGATATCCGCACCCCAAAGCGGCCAGCCCTACGCGGGCAGACGCCTGACATCTGCTGCGTGTCGCCGCCCAGCTGTCTCCGACCGAGGTGTTCCTGCGCCTGCTGGAGCTGCCGTCCGACCCAGAGCTGCACGTGGACCTGCGCCAGGTGGCCGTGGTGCTGCTGTGCCTGCTGGACCGGATGGCGGCGCCGCTGCAGCCTGACAACACCGCCGCCAAGGTGGGTTCGCGCCACCGCCGGCGCCATCACGGGATGACCCGGTCTACGTGGGAGGCTGTCAGTCAGCGTACGCGCCAGCGTGGCGGTAACGAGAGACGGACCGACCCGTGGACAGCGGCCGGGCTGTCGGACCCGGCCAGACCAGAGCTGTCGGTCTGCGGACGCGCCAGGGTGTCGGAAACCAGAGGTGGACCGGCCCGTGGACAGCGACCGGGCTGTCGGACCCGGCCAGACCAGAGCTGTCAGTCTGCGGACGCGCCAGGGTGTCGGAAACCAGAGGTGGACCGGCCCGTGGACAGCGGCCGGGCTGTCGGGTCAAGCCAGACCAGAGCTGTCAGTCAGCGGGCACCGGGAGATGTTCATGGGAAAGAGAGGACTGCAGGAAACTCGCGGGACGTGTTGTGCTGAGCATGGTTGAGGTAGCAACCGCTTCGGTGTATAGTTCCAAGTAGTCCAGCCATTTGGTCGCCATTCTGCCGCGACCCTCCCTTGACCGTGGCCGCCTCTGGGGCAGGACACGGGCCGTCAGGAGCTGCTGTGCCTGGGCAGCGGCGGCGGCGGCGGCTCCCAGACGCCCTGCTCGCCGCTGCCGACGCCGGCCGCCGCCAGCCTCAGCCGCGTGGAGGGACTGGCCGACCTCCGAGTCAAGCAGATGGCCTGCGGCGAGCAGGCGGCTCTGCTGCTGGCACACACGGGCGCCGTCTACCTGGTGGTGTACGGCGCCGACAAACAGGTCAGACCGACCCTGGTCCGCCGTAGCAGTGCAGGTCGTGGAGTCAGCACGCCTGGCGCAAGGCTTATAATGACGGGACGATGCTCTTGTGAACTCCATGGCTTATTCAACTCCATAATATTACTGTTTTGGTGCTCTACGCAAAGCTTCTGATAATCGATTGTAACCTGTCACTGAGCACACTAGTGTCGTTTTGCTGCGCATGTCTGGTTAGGCTTGCCATTGCGACATTGCACACCTGTCTCGTTTCGCTGCGCTCGTCTGCTGGGCTTTGTCACACGTGTAAGTCCGGACAGTTCCCGCAATGTCGGTCGGTCGCGCATTGCACAAGTCACCAGTCATCTCGTCTCTCGGCGCCACGTTGAGTGGCCGCCGCCGGGTGTCGCTGACCGCGCCGCACTGCTCCGCCCCAGTCGCTGGCGCCGGTGGAGGGCCTAGCTGACAAGGAGGTGGTCCACGTGTCGGCCCACCCGGAGGGGCAGCACTACATGGCGGTCACCGCGCACGGCGAGGTTAGAACAGACCGCCCGGTCGGCACCCGCAGGAGACCCGAGTACAGGGCTTCCCGGCCTCCCCGGGCTCCCCTGGCTCCTCGGGCTCCCCTGGCTCCTCGGGCTCCCCGGACTCCCCTGACTCCTCGGGCCCCCCGGGCTCCCCTGGCTCCTCGGGCTTCCCGGGCTTCCCGGGCTCCCCTAGGCCCTCGGGCTCCCCTGGCTCCTCGGGCTTCCCGGGCTCCCCAGGCTCCCTATTAACGGGCTCCCCAGGCTCCCCGGGCTCTCAAGACTCCTCGATCTCCCCTGACTCCCCGGACTCCTCGGGCTTCCCGGGCTCCCCAGGCTCCCAAGGCTCCCCAGGCTCCCCAGGCTCCCCAGGCTCCCCAGGCTCCCCAGGCTCCCCAGGCTCCCCAGGCTCCCCAGGCTCCCCAGGCTCTCCAGGCTCTCCAGGCTCCCCGGGCTCCCCGGGCTCTCAAGACTCCTCGATCTCCCCTGACTCCCCGGACTCCTCGGACCCTCTGGGCTCCTCTGCACCGGTCGGGATGTCTGCGGTAGTGATGTACTTTGCGCTATCGCAGCGGTAGTGTGCTACAAATGTGTACGGCGATAAGCACAGTAACGCACTGCAAATTGCTGCACACAGCAAGCCTCGTAAGATGTGGCCGTATAGAAGAGCAAACCCAAGTGTCCAGTGTTGAGATCACGGAGACCGCCGCCTGCGGATTGTTCTGGTGTGACGGGGTCGTCTGTGTGACGCTGGCTGGTCGCTGCAGCTGCTGTCCTGGGGTAACGGCGACGGCGGCCGGCTGGGCCACGGCGACTGCCAGTCCCTGGAGGCGCCCGCCCTGGTGGTGGCGCTCACCGGCAAACACGTGACCTGCTGCAGCTGCGGCAGCACTTACAGGTGGGCCGTAGCTGTGGCAGATGTTTTGCTTGCCTGTTGAGAAAACTGTTTCTTGTGGTTTTCATTTCATTATCTCTTTAACTCCACCCGGTTGAACGGAATCTTCCCAGCCCTAAGGTTGCGCTCGTCAGTTGTGAGACACGTGTGACGTGATCTGACTGGTCCTGACCTGACCCGACCTGACCCGACCTGACCTCCCTGCCGCAGCGCTGCTCTGACCAGCTGCGGCGAGCTGTACACCTGGGGCCGCGGCAACTACGGCCGACTGGGTCATGGCAACTTTGAGGACTGCCACCTGCCCACTCTGGTGCAGGCTCTCACTGGTCAGCCATGGGCAGAGGGGTGGGGAGCGAGACTGTCACCTGCCCACTCTGGTACAGGCCCTCACTGGTCAGTCATGGGCAGAAGGGGTGGGGGACAAGACTGTCACCTGCCCACTCTGGTGCCGGCCCTCACCGGTCATTGTTGCCCGAAGCTGGTGGAGATGGCTGGTGGAGATGTCTGGTTGCGCGGAGGTCTGTTTGTATATCGACGCGGCAGGTGAGATCGCTCGCTGCGGACACTAGTAACGGCGATCTCAGCTAGCCTAGCAGTGCCAAAGAGATTGGTCTCGGTTATTTTTGGCATGGACGTCATAGTGAGCTTTGATCGATGATCTGCGTGTGCTATTGTGTATTTGTGTACATCTGTGTGTATACTTGTCTGTGTGCGTGTTTTACTATCTGCGTGTATATTTGTCCGTCCCGGTGGCTCGGTTGGTTAGAGCGCCTGCATTTCAATCCGTCCACCCATGGCAGGGTGGGTTCGAGTCGCTTTAGGGCGCTTGCTATTTGCCCTTGGTAGGTGTGGCCTGCGACCGGTGGCAGCGGTCGCGCTAAAGGTCAGTTCACGTCAGGGGGCAGGATGGACCGTGCCGAGCATTGCGGCACGTTAAGCTTTCGCCACTAAATTCTGCCGTTGCCTGGAATTGCGCGATCGGGTCGTGGGGGTCAGGGCTCACACAACAAGCGCTGCTTAGCGTGAGCGCTAATCCCAGAAATCCATCCATTCGAAGGGTTCGGATCAAATTTATTGAAAAGAAATTCAAGCGTCGACGCGATTAGGTAGCAGAATGCACGTAGCTCCGTAAATTCCGGCATGCGGTTTACATAACCCTGTCGGTTGGTATTTAAGGCGTCACTGCGTTTTGCCAGTGCTTTCCCTTCCTACGTCGCCCGTCGGCGACAGTGTGCAGCTGTTTGACGGCGTGTCCGGCTTGGCCTCAGGTCACCGCGTGGTGGACGTCTGCTGTGGCTCGGGCGACGCGCACACGGTGGCCGTCACGGACGCTGGCCTCGTCTACACCTGGGGCGACGGCGACTACGGCAAGCTGGGTGAGAGTCGGCGCACGCGCTGCCGAACGTGGTCGGAGCCGTGCTGTGGCACCGTGACTGGCATGTCAAACACAGTGGTGCCGCTGCTGGATGACGGCTGGCCAGTCACCGTAGGTGCCTGATGCGAGACCAGCCCGTTCAGTAGTCAAGGCTAGAATCTGGCCACACGGCTAGTGGCTGACATGTTCTCCTATGAACCCCACCGAGTGTTAAGTGAGCCTGGCTGTGGGTCCGTGCCATGGTGCCACCCGGTCAGCTGTGTAAGCCGTGGCCTCTGCTCGCTAGGGACCCGGTACCTCAAACGTTCCCAGTGACGCGAATACCTCAAGTGATACCAGTGGGCCTGGCTTCCTCTGATCTGGCGTTACCCATAGCGACCCTGACCCGGTACCCCCGCCCTGTCCCTCATAACGGAACCGGTGCCCGCAATTCTGCCCTACCCCCGTTGCTCGCGACTGACCGTGTGCCGTGGCGCGGCCGTCGCCGGCAGGCCGCGGCGGCAGCGAAGGCTCGCGCGTGCCGCAGCTGGTGGAGCGGCTGCAGGGGGCGCGCGTAGTGCGCGCCGTCAGCGGCGCCCAGTTCTCGGCGGCGCTCACCGACGCCGGCGTCGTCTACACCTGGGGCAAGGGCGACACGTTCCGACTGGGCCACGGCACCGAGGAGCACGCCAGGTTCCCGCTCAAGGTTGAGGCGCTCGCAGGTCGGTGGCCGCGGCGCCGTGCGGAGTGGTGCCGGTTCGTGCTGCAACGCAGAGCTGAGGCGCCTCTGGAGTGTGCACCGGGCCAGGCAGGCCAGAGGTGCGCCTGTGGAGGGCTTGGCGGCGAGTATTATGGCTCGCTGCGGGTGCCGTTGGAGACAGGTGGGGGTATGTGCGCGCGGGCAGGCCCAGGAGCTGGGAGTTTGGAAGCCCATTTGTTATTGTGACTTGTGGACACTGCTAGGTTGGGCTATCGTGTGGAACTTCAAGTGAGCACGAGTGAGAGCCTCCGTTATATTGGTGCATACATGCGCTGAACTTCATGTGTACACAAGTTCAAGATTCCTTGACGACAAATAGGACAAATGTGTCTGTGGTGAGATCACATGCTAAACGGGGTCGCTTTCCCCTTACCGAGCAGGGAAATTGCGTCGGCTTCTAAAGGATGTGACCACGTGCTGTGTATGTGTGGTGTGTCACCACCCACGCTCCTCCGCCACTCTCAGGGAAGAAGGTGCGCCAGCTGTCGGTGGGCGTGGCGTCGTGCTGTGTATGTGTGGTGTGTCACCACCCGCGCTCCTCCGCCACTCTCAGGGAAGAAGGTGCGCCAGCTGTCGGTGGGCGTGACGTCGTGCTGTGTATGTGTGGTGTGTCACCACCCGCGCTCCTCCGCCACTCCCAGGGAAGAAGGCGCGCCAGCTGTCGGTGGGCGTGACGTCGTGCTGTGTATGTGTGATGTGTCACCACCCGCGCTCCTCCGCCACTCCCAGGGAAGAAGGTGCGCCAGCTGTCGGTGGGCGTGACGTCGTGCTGTGTATGTGTGATGTGTCACCACCCGCGCTCCTCCGCCACTCCCAGGGAAGAAGGTGCGCCAGCTGTCGGTGGGCGTGACGTCGTGCTGTGTATGTGTGATGTGTCACCACCCGCGCTCCTCCGCCACTCCCAGGGAAGAAGGTGCGCCAGCTGTCGGTGGGCGTGGCGTCGTGCTGTGTATGTGTGATGTGTCACCACCCGCACTCCTCCGCCACTCCCAGGGAAGAAGGTGCGCCAGCTGTCGGTGGGCGTGACGTCGTGCTGTGTATGTGTGGTGTGTCACCACCTGCGCTCCTCCGCCACCCCCAGGGAAGAAGGTGCGCCAGCTGTCGGTGGGCGTGACGACGTGTGTGGCGGTGACGGAGGACGGCCTGGTGTACTGCTGGGGCCGCGGCGTGGCCGGCCGGCCGTCGGTCCTGCCCGGCCCAGCGCCACTGGCAGAGCTGGCCGGCCGCACCGTTCTGGGCGTCTGCTGCGGCCCGCTACAGGTTGGTGACGGGCTGAGGTCACTGTCGGGCACCGGGTCACAGTCGTCTGCCGCGGCCCCGTACAGGTCAGCGGCGAGCTGGGTGGCTGGCCTGATGACGGGCTCACGGAGCTCGCGCAACGCATAGGGAGAACGTGCCCTGGGCGGCAGTGATGTCCAACCGCTGGACAGCACGCTACGCACACGTAGTCCTGTTATGCTCGTAAACGAGACGAGGTAACCACATGAACCGCCGCTGGGTAGAAATGCTGAGATTGTGCAGCCAGTGACACTTTAGGAGGGCGAGCGACCGCCGCGTCGTCGCCGCCCTGCTGCTGACGGCTGGCGCGCCCGGCAGCTGTTCGCCTGGTCGCCGGGCGCGGAGAGCAAGGTGAGCCGCCGCGTGCCGTTCGTGGTGGACGCCAGCGAGGCGACGTTCGTCTATCTGGAGCGGCTGATGGAGAGGGCTGCGCCACCGGCCGCCGCCGCCGCCCGGCCGCCCACCCAGGAGGACGAGTGCATGATGGTGGCTGCGCTCCGGCTGCTCACGCTGCAGGTGGGCGCGACGTCTCCGGCGAACGGGGCCAGCGGTGGTGCGACGCGGCGTGAGGGCGTGATCTCCTGTGGGCTTTGTGACTGGTGTGCTGCGGTAGACTTGGGGAATCGGGCTGGAGCGACCTCGGGTGACTTGAGGGAGCTCTGGAACATGGGACCTTAGTTTTTGTGTCCTTAGCAATTTGTACGCCATGTACGAACAGAGCAGCACAAGTTTTCTCTCCCTGTCTCCGAATACGGGGTGTTGCGGTTATTGTCTGCTACACGATAAGCTCCGCACCATGCAGAACTGTCGCGGTCATCTGTCAGCACCCCGTCCGTCGTGTGGCCGCACTGCCAGGCCCCGCAGTCCGGCCGGGCCGTCCCACCACCCTTGCGCCGGCACCCCACCCCTTCCCCGCGCGGACCCGCTGACGACCGACCGCGCCCACCAGCTGCACGCGGCCATCACGCACGGCCTGGACCTGTCGTCACTGGGGCTGGCGGCCGGCAGCCGGCTGCTGACTGCGCTCAAGAGCCGCGTGGTGGAGCTGGCTAGCGGCGGCGGCGTGCTCGGCTCGGTGCAGGCAGCCGCCCAGGCCACGCTCAAGGTCGGGTGGAGCGCGCTGCTGCCCACCGCCGAGGAGCGCGCCAAGACGCTCTCTACCCTGCTGCCGCACGCCGGTCAGTGGCGCCCCTGCGTGTGCCGCCGCCGCCGTCCACAGTCCGCCGAGGCGGAGGCGGCGGCGGTGAGAACGGCTGTGAACGTCGGGAGCCCTATCTGGGCGGTATACGTCTGTTGTCGGACTGTTCGCGTGCTGGGATAAGGCGTGCGGGTCAATCATGTGTCCCTCCAGCCCGGAGATGTGCCGTCTGTGATCAACAGTCGATGTCGGATGGACATGCTCCACAGCCGCCTCTCAAGGACGCTGAACAGCCACACAGTCGCTCAGCAGCGGCGCCGGTTCTCGGCAGAAGCGGTGACACAGGCCCACACACGTGCCTCGTGTCCTCGCTCTGCCTGACCGCAGCCCAGCAGCTGCACTCTTGAGTCACGTCCCCGGAGCCGCGCGTGAGAGCCGCGTGTTGTCGGGGCTGGCCCCGCCGTCCTGACGGCGCCGCCGCCGCCGCCGCAGGCTGTGAGGTGGGATCGCCCAGCGCTGGCCGGCTCTTCATGACCGACCTGCTCGTCTCGTCGCTGATGGCCGACGGCGGGCTGGAGACGGCCCTGCGCGCCGCCGTCAAAGGTGCGCCGACGCTACTGGGAGGGGAGCGGGCGATCGGCCCCATGGGAAGCTGCCTCAGCTTATGGCGTGGCTGCGGTGTCGGGAGGTCTCCAAGAGATACCAAGAAATGCTTTCTGGTTTGGACGAGATCCACACAGCTAACAGGTTCTCCGATCGTTACGATATCTCGTTCACGGACTCACAGCTGTATCTCCCTTTACTGGAGAGCGTTCCATCATTGCGAACTCGCGGCGTGCCACGCAAGTCACCGTGTCGTTAAACACCGTTATCTACAAGACAGCTCTCCTTTGCTGCCACATTGGAGTCCGGCAAACGGCCCTTTCCGTTTACCCTTGTTGGAGCTTCCTGTGCGGTGCCGGCTGTGACGTCGTCGCGCTGGGTTGACAGTGGAGGTGCAGGACCTGGAGGAGGGCGGCGAGAAGGAGGTGCTGCTGTCGCAGATGATGACCGAGCAGGCCCAGCTGGAGGCCGAGACCAAGCGGTCGCAGAGTGCCAGCGGCCAGAAGCCGCCCATCCCGCTGCTGCATCTGGTCAAACAGCTGCTCAGGTACGGCGCCGATCGGCCGCTGCGACGGACGTCCGGCTCAGCGACGGCTGCGCGGGCCGGCTGGCAGAGCTTCAGCGAGAAACTGTGGGCTTAAAGGATTGGGTGCACGCGATGTAGGTGGCTGTATTTGTCGATATTTGTCCACGTCATGTTGTGCATTAAATGCGCCACCAAATCGCCGTGAACCGCCGTCATCGTCTTCTCTGCTTCCCGGGACCACGTGATTTTTATTCTTGTCCCCTCTTTGGAGCATGCTCGCTGGAAAGCCATTATGGTTCGTCATTTCAAGTGCCCGATCGCCTGTCTCGGCGACCGACGCCGTCATCGCCGCGCCGGCAGGAACATCTCGTCGCAGACGCTGTACCGGCTGCAGGCGGTGTCGACGGCCGACTCGGCTCTGTCACAGTCTGCGTCGGAGCTGCCGCCGCCGCCGCCGCCGCCCTCCACCGGCGGCAGCGGCCTCCAGCGCTCGGCCTCGCTCGACCTGCTGACGCGCTTCCAGCGGCTGCTGCTGGCCGAACTGCACCACGTCAGCGGCCCGGCCGCCGGCGACGAGAAGCGCGAGCGGCACGACCGCGGCGCCGGCTCGCTGCTCGGCAAGTACGTCCAGCTGCTGATGGTGTACGTCAACGACACGCTGTCGGTGGCGTGCGGCGTGGCCGCCGCCGGCTGCAAGCAGTTCGCCCTGGTTTCGGCCACGCTCAGGGACGACATTGTCGGTGAGTGAGGCCGCGGCCGGGCGGGCCGGTTGGCTCTGTGCGCGGCAGAGGTGGTCTGTTGGGCTGCCGGGAGGTGGGACTGATTTCGAGGTCTCGAGTTTTTCGATTGATAATGTGAGGGAGGGTGATAGGTAGTTTTGCAAATCAGGTTATTCCGGGCCCTGAGCTGATATTTTGTCAACTTGATTTCAGCATTGCTGTGAATTTTCATAGTCAGATCTGATCGACTATTTTATGAGACACATCTTGTGTTTAATGTTTTCTTGTCTGTAAAAGCGAGCGGCATCATTTCAGTACCTCTTGTCTCCCTTCAGTGTGTGCTGGGGTTTGACCGATGTGGCGGTTGCTGGCATTCACTCCTTATCCACACTTCCCCCTGCCGTTGTCTTGTGTGCGGAGCCCGCATGACGCCGCGTGTCCCCCTTCCCCGCCCCGGCCAGGCGTGCTGGTTCCGGAGCTGGTGCTGTGTCTGCTGATGCTGCAGCAGCGCAGCCCGGTGCTGCGCTGCCCGCACCTGTCCGGGCCACTGCTGCCGTTGTCTTGTGTGCGGAGCCCGCATGACGCCGCGTGTCCCCCTTCCCCGCCCCGGCCAGGCGTGCTGGTGCCGGAGCTGGTGCTGTGTCTGCTGATGCTGCAGCAGCGCAGCCCGGTGCTGCGCTGCCCGCACCTGTCCGGGCCACTGCTGCCGCTGCTCGACACGCTCGACCGCTTCAATCGGCTGGCGCCCGGCGCCGAGCGCGAGGACACCGAGGACCTCGCCTGGCCCGGCATCATCGGTCAGTCGGCGCGCGCTGCTAAGCGGGGGCGCCGCTCACCGGGGGCGCCTCTCACCGTGGGCGCCGGTCACCGGGGGCGCCGGTCACCGGGGGTGCCGCTCGGTCACCGGGGGTGCCGCTCGGTCACCGGGGGCGCCGCTCCGCGGGGCGCCGCTTCGCGGGGCGCCGCTCCGCGGGGCGCCGCTCCGCGGGGCGCCGCTCCGCGGGGCGCCGCTCCCCGGTGGCACCGCTCCCCGGGGGCACCGCTCACCGGGGGCGCCGGTCACCGGGGGCGCCGTTCACTGGGGTTGCCGCTCGGTCACCAGGGGCGCCGCTCACCGGGGGCGCCGGTCACCGGAGGCGCCGCTCACCGGGGGCGCCTCTCACCGTGGGCGCCGGTCACCGGGGGTGCCGCTCGGTCACCGGGGGCGCCGCTCCGCGGGGCGCCGCTCCGCGGGGCGCCGCTTCGCGGGGCGCCGCTTCGCGGGGCGCTGCTCCGCGGGGCGCCGCTCCCCGGGGGCACCGCTCACCGGGGGCGCCGGTCACCTGGGGCGCCGCTCACTGGGGTTGCCGCTCGGTCACTGGGGGCGCCGCTCACCGAGGGCGCCTGTCACCGGAGGCGCCGCTCACCGGGGGTGCCGCTCGGTCACGGGGGGCGCCGGTCACCGGGGCGCCGCTCATCGGGGGCGCCGCTCACCGGGGGTGCCGCTCGGTCACCGGGGGCGCCGTTCACCGGGGGCGCCGCTCACCGGGAGCGCCTCTCACCGGGGGCGCCTCTCACCGGGGGCGCCGCTCACCGGGGGCGCCGCTCACCGGGGGCGCCGCTCACCGGGGGCGCCGCTCACCGGGGGCGCTGGTCACCGGAAGGGAGGCTTTCGTGTTTACAATGGAAAGGCGGCTTTCAAATAAGATGCTTCAGAACAGCTGAGTTTTACTGTACAGTTGTACTGTACCTTACCGTAATTATCCTGTGTGTTTTGAAATTGCTGACGCGTTGGTGCTTTCCAATGTTATTGGCCTGGTGTAGTTCCAATATTAGTTTGTTGAGTCATAAGATTAGTTTGTTGAGTCGTAAGATTAGTTCGTTGAGTCGTAAGATTAGTTTGTTGAGTCGCAAAATTGCTGCAAGCCTGCGTGTCTCTCCCCCCCCCCCCCCCCCCCCTCTTCGCTCCCGGTCGGCCGTACCGCTCGCCCGCCGCCGCGTGCAGCCGCTGTGTCCGCCGCTGCCTCAGGCGCCTCGCACTCGACCCACTCGGTGCGCTCCAGCGACGAAGTGCCCGTGATCAGGCGCGCCGACATAGAGAACCACAACCGCGACGGCGGCCTCTGGCTCCTCATCGCCGGCAAGGTGTACGACGTGCAGGACTTCAAGTGAGTGGTCGGCTGGCGCGACGCCGGCACCGGCGCCGGCGAGCGTGGCGCCGCGCAGCCTACACCTCACTGATGCCACTGCGGAGGGCGGACGGTGATGACGGCTGTTCTCGTGGGGTGTGGAGCCACGTAATGCTTTACGTTGACTGTTAAGTACGGCCACATTTATGAGGAGTTTTGGGGACGGTGAGATGCTTCTCACGTTTTGGAGAATTGGGCAAGGAACACTTGAAGGTGTTTGATATCCGCTGTTGTTATTCTTATGACCTTATTGATATCTACTATGCCTATTTTGTGATTGGAAGCAAAACAACAGTTGGCGGGCGCGCCGTTTCGCGCCAAGTCGGTACGACCCGACTCCATGAAATGTGGCCTGAGGCTTGAACATCTGATGGACGCGCCCGATTGCGATCCAGCCCTTCGGAATACGTCAGACTGTTCTGCATGTGAGCTGCCCCACGCTGCTCTGACCTCATCCGTCTTCCCTTGCACTGACCCCGTCTGCCTGTGCCCTGACCCGTCTGCCCGTGCCCTGACCTCGTCTGCCTGTGCCCTGACCCGTCTGCCCGTGCCCTGACCCCGTCTGCCCGTGCCCTGACCGTGCCCGCCGGCGGCGGCAGGGCGGAGGCGCCGTGCGGGGCCGAGCTGCTGCAGCGGTCGGCCGGCAAGGACGTGACGCGGGCTTTCGAGGCGGCGCAGCACTCGGCCCAGGCGCTGGACACGCTGCGGGGCCTGTTCGTGGGCAACTTTCTCGACCCGGACACGGAGCCCGTCCAGGTCAGGGTTTTGGGGGTGTCGGGTCGCTCACACACGGTTGATGGGGGGGATGTGGGGTCGAGATGTCGCCGTTTACGTCCAGGTCAGGGGTTTCGTGGGTGTCGGGTCGCTCACACGCGGCTGATAGAGGAGATGTGGGGTCGAGAGGTCGCCTTTGACGATGCCAGGGTTGATGCAATGCCATGGGAACGACACGTCCCTCGTCTGCGTCCAGAGCAGTAGCAGCAGGTGTGCTGAACACCGCCGAGCCAGATCTGACCACGCTGTGGACCGCGTTCCCCGCCCGGCCAGACGGGTTCCGATCCCCGCCGTGTTTGCCGCCACGTGCCGTGACCCTGCGCCCGGCTAGACGGGTTCTGATCCCCGCCGTGTTCGCCGTCCGTGCCGTGACCCGACGCCCGGCCAGACGAATTCCGATCCCTACCGTGTTCGCCGCCACGTGCCGTGACCCCGCGCCCGCCCTGCCCGGCCAGACGGTGGACTCGAGCACGCTCTCATCGCCGCTGGTGGACGCCGAGCGGTCGCTGGCGCTGCTGCTGGGTCTGCAGGCGCACACGTTGTACCGCAGCGCGCCGCCGCAGCCGGCCGAGCTGCAGGCGCAGGCGCTGCTTGACAGCGGCGTGTTCGACGGCGGACTGGCGGTGAGCGGGCGCTGACGCTGCCGCGTGTGCTGGTGTCTGGCCGACGGCGGGTGGTGTATGCATTTGATGCGAGCAAGTGAAGCAGAAAGTTTATAGTGGTATCCGCTGTAAATTTATATTCCACTCAGGCAAAATGAGACGCACGTGGACGTCATGGCAGTGCGATTGGGCGCGCTACGTTGCCATGTTTCCGATGCGTGTTTCTGAGGCGAAGGATTTTGCTGGGAAGGATCAGAACGCACACGAGCATTCGGCTGCCCAGTGGGGCTGGGTGGTGTCGCTAGCACCGCCTGTGATGTCTGATGTAACGCCAGATAACACCATTCTGCGCGGCGCATGCGATTTCAGCGAGGCGTCTCTCAGGGACTGGACGACGCCGACAAGGACCGTGAGACCACCAATTCCCCCTTCAAGGCTCACATGGACTCATCCGCCATGGAGGATACTGTCAAACTGATTCTAGCGTATGCGGAGGGCATTGATGAGGTAATCAAACCAACAGGCGGAGTGACAGGTGATACTACCAAGCGAGGGATACAAATGATAACCTCATTAGTGAAAGCCCGCCAGTTGGTCTCCCCGTTCATGTTTCAGCTGTTTTGAAGCTTACCTATCCTATTGGTTTGTGCAGATAGCGTCAGCCATCTACCAAATAATGCTCACCAAACAACTGGACCAGGCAAACACTATCCTGGACGCGTATTGTTCTGAACCGGATAGCCCAACCTCGGACACCGCTGTGCGATGCCGCACTGACCGACGGCGGCCATCGGCAGGACGAGGGCGTGCAGCGGCTGAGCAGTGCCATCTCTGGGCACTGCGACAAGTTCCACCTGCGGATGCCGCTACAGGTGTCGCCCGACCACCCGGTGGAGCAGGTGGGCCGCCGGCTGCTGGCAGCCGTGCTGCGTCAGACGGGTGCCCACCGCCGCCTCCAGCCGTTCCTGCGCCCAGGTCAGCTGCGCCGGCGCCGTCATGGGTCGGGTAGCGGCGGCCGGGGTCGCCGCCACACGTGCCCTTGTCAAACACGTGTAGGAATGCGGTGAACAGCGTGCAGTTCACCACGTGGCGATGGTTGGCGAAGCTCGTGTTTCAGCCAGCCTCTCGTGCCGTGCGGGTTGTTTGCGAGGCGGCTAAGCACCGGTGGATGGAACCCAGGCGCGTGTAGCCTTACCCCACCGCTGTCCACCATCCCTTATCCCAAGGCCCAGAAGGGGTCATGATTGACTGAAGTGACCCGTATCGGATCAGTCAAAACAAACCGAACCGAAGCCCGTGTTTTGCTTGGGTCGTTATCATCACTTGCCTGCTTGCTCTTTATGCTCGGCCCCACATTTGCGTGTGAATACAGAGCGGACGTGGCAACGCGTTCGCTCGTGCGTTCCGACGCTTGTGTTTGTGCGTCACCGCGGGGCCTGTCTGACTGCGGTTCGGGCAGTGTTCTGACCCCGCTTGCGTGCCCGGCAGCGGCGGCGGGGCCGGACGGCGAGGCGACCGAGCCGCGAGAGCTGCCGGAGCCGCTGCCGGAGCTGCTGCGGATCGTGCAGCGGACCAAGCTCTCGCTGATCCGCACGCGACAGCAGCTCGACTCCAGCTACAAGGAGGTCTGCGCCGAGCCCATGGACAAGTGCCGGTCAGTGAAGCTGGGCGCCACCCGCCGCCCGCCCGCCGCCCGCCGCGGTGCCGTCCTGCGCTGGCGTGGCTCGTATAGGAGATCCGACCTGCTGGCCGCTCCTGGCCTAGCCTTTCATCCTGAGACGCGTGCGGTGCTGTGCGACCACATTGGTCTGTGTTACTCTGTTACTGATGATGTGGTGGTCGCCACCTGGACACCAGGTGGCGTTGTACGCGCCCGGCGGGGCTCTGACTAGCATCCGTCTGGTGGTAGAATGCCTCGCAGGCAATCCGCGTGATCTGTCTGGGATTCACTGGCTACTCGGCATGCCCGGCTTCTAGGACTGGGTTGCTATTTTGCCGTTCTCCTGGCCTGCTGCACGCTTGTGTGTACCCAGTCGGTGGCATCCCGCCGCCAGTATACCCAGCGTAATAACCAACACCCCCGGGTGTCCGCCGCTGCGGCCATATGAAGGTCACCGCATCCGCGCCCGCCTGCAGTGACGCCGCGGCCGCCGCCGCAGCTCCGACCGCAGAGTGGCGTCCAGCGCCGCTCCTCGTCACCAGCCCTGCTGTCACGCCCCCTCCCCCTGCGGTCCTGCAGGTTCCTGCTGTACAAGATGCGGCCGCTGTCGTGCGCGGCGGCGCGCGCCGCCTCTGGCCGTCGCCTACTGCACGTGCCCAGCCGCTGGCGGGCGGCGGCGCGCCAGGTGCTGCTGGCGCGCTCCGGCGGCCTCAACGTCCGACCAGAGGACATACTCAACGAGAGCATCCAGGTGCGACGGACGCGCAAGTGTCGAACGCTGAACCAGGCGATGAGATATGGTGGTGGCTTTCACACGGGCATAGTGGTGGAGTGGATCACGGATGACCAGTTGGGATTATAAGAGGAATGTGTGATGAAGCGGTCTGCATCACATGACCCTAGAAGAACAGCATTGCTCTTCTCTGTCCCCGGTGATAAGGGCGTTTTTGCATTTTCCGGGGCCGGTTTTGAGCATTCTTACTTCCGTGTGTAAGCGCCCTCGGACATCCCATTCTTATCTGATACTAATATGGTCGTCAACGTCATGCACAGTGCAGCATCAGTCGTGAAGTGCACGTACAGTCAGTCGTCTGTCACACGCGGTGCCAGGGTGGATGCGACGAGCCGCCGTCGGCCGGTCACGCCACGTGCCGTCTGACCGCCCCCCCCCCCCCCCGTGTATGACTAGTCTCAGGACGCGCTCGCGGCCGCCGCCGGTCAGAAGGAGCCGTCGGAGGAGGACGGCGAGGCCGAGAAGCAGCTGCTGGAGGCGGCGGCGGCCGGCTGCGCGCCGCCCCCGCCCTCCCAGACGCTGCCGGCCGGCGGCGTGGCTGGCTCGCCGGAGGACGACTCGGGCGCGGAGGAGGAGGAGCGCTCGGAGAAGCTCGCCGCCGAGGCGCTGCCGGAGAAGACCGGCGAGCCCGACCACGAGCGCTCCGAAAAGTTCGAGGAAGACCGCTCCGAGAAGGTGGGCGATGAGGATCTCTCGGAGAAGCTGGTGGCGGAGGACCGGTCAGAGAAGCTGGTAGACGAGGATCGCTCTGAGAAGCTGCTCGACGAAGATCGCTCCGAGAAGCTGGTGGACGAAGACCGTTCGGAGAAGCTAGAAGAGGACGACCCGTCCGAGAAGGTGGACGACGAGGACTGTTCGGAGAAGCTTGAGGAGGACGAGGAGCGTTCTGAGAAGGCCGAGGCCGGCGGGAAGCGCTCCGGCGGCGGGGTGGGGAGTCACGACAACCGAAGAGACGAGGCCCCCGAGCAGGTGGTGAAGGACGCACTGTCGTGCGACTCGGAGCCTGGGGCAGCCGCTGCCGTCCGCGTCGTGCCCGGCAAGCTGGCGCTCAAGCTGGAGATGATGGAGACGACAGAGACTTGGACGCCCGCAGCGTGCGGGCCCAAGCGCGGTAAGAGAACCACAGGCTTGGGGTCAGTCGTTTGTGGGAGCTACGCCGGGCTGAAATTTGGCGTGAGGTTTTGTTGAAGGCTGCAAACTTTTTTGTTTCTTTTCATTTTGTGCACTTTTCATGTAAAAGTTCGACTGACATTGATGGTGTGAGGATTGGCATCTACAGTATTGTAACGCTTCTTTCTTTTTTATTCGTGTCTGTGAATGCATTGGTGTTAAATGCATGGGCTTGCTCAGATGCTTCGTTCGAACCTGCTTCATAATCCGCACGTTTGCTTTCAGAGCACATCGCCTCGGGCGCAGCGCTGCCAGAGTCGTCGCCTGTCGATGTGCTCGAGATTGCTAACAAGATCGCCGCGTTCGTGACCCAGACCTCGGTGGACGTCGGCGTGGTGCAGAAAGCTCTCACATGCCAGGTAGGAGTGTGTGCCTGGAGCCGAGCGGCGCCGCCAGCTGTCGCCGGTGGTGTGCCACCAGTCACGCGGTAGCCTCCCACGCGCTGCTCCAAACGTGGCGTGCGTGCTTGTGTGACCCGAGCAGCCGGTATTTGTATACAGCATAACCATCGACCTTCCATGGCGACTCCCCGTCCCCTCCTCGGGAGGCGGCGGTGGATCGGACCCGGCCCGACCCGGCCCGGCCCCCAGACGCCCGCTCTCGGTCGACGCTCGTGCTCCCGCCGGCAGATGGAGCGGGCCGGCCTGCGCCTGCGCGGTCTGGACATGGTGCACGGCCTGCTGGCCAAGACGCACCTGGTGGCGTCAGCGCGCGTCCACCTGCTAATGGGCTGGCTCGGCCTGGGACCCACGCTCAAGGCCAGCCACACGTGAGTCGGCGCGCCGGCACCCGCCTCATCCGCTCTGTCTCGAGTCCCGTCGTGCTGTCGCCTCACCGTCGTTACCAAGTCGCCGTTACAGTGGAGTCTGACTTGCCGTGCCTCGCGTTCTCCCACGACAGTGCGTCGGCACAGCTGTCACGCGCGGCCGCGACACAGCCGTCGGCGCCGCGCCCGTGTCGAACCCGTCTGCGTCCTACGGCCTGATGAAGCGCCGCGAGCCGTGTCGCTGACACCCCTGGAGCCCGGCCAGACTCCGGCGACGCGGCGCGGCCCCGTGTCCGCCGTCTGACTGTCTGGCTGTCGGGCTGTCTGACCGTCCGGCCGTCTGGCCGCCGCCAGGCCGCTGCCGTCGTGTCTGGACGGCGTGCGTCGTAGCCGGCCGTACGAGCGGGCACAGCTGCTGGTGCAGCACGGCCGGCTGCAGCAGCTGGCCGCTCATCAGCTGCGCCAGCTGGCGGCCGACGCCGAGCAGCAGTTCCGCGGCCGTAGCTGCAAGTCCACTCGGCTCAAGGAGAACCTCAACCACATGGACCAGAACGGCCTCTCGACGCTGCCGTCGGCCAGGTGAGCGGCCGCGAGACGCGGCACGGCCCGAGGCAGCTGCCAGCAGCGGCAGTGGGCCGCGGCCGCCAGTATCAGTGTTCATCAGATGTTAAGTTATTAAGACATCTCGGATTTGGAAAAGCTGTCGGCAGTCCTAGATTGTTTGAGCTGTTGAAGTCATGTTGGATGCGAAGGAGTTGGCAGTAGCTGCACATTCTGACTCCTGTTTTAAGCTGCCGATGTGATTTTTATATGTTTAAAGCATGCTAGTTTTTAGGTGTTCGGTAGGGTATGGAAGGCTGTGTGCATTTAGCGCATATCATGCATTTTATACGCATATTATTGTGGGTATTTACTGGATCCCGTAGCTTCGGGCACTTTGCTGTCTATGGGTCTTGTGACGGAGTCCTCTGCTCCCTTCCATCTATATCACGTTCTTGACATACGCATCTGGACGGAAACTATCAAAAGATTACAGTTGGCCGTGGTCTGGATTAGTGAAATACACATCCTAACACGTTGGACTCAAAATATGCCCCAACAAATGATAACGCTCTGATGTCGCGCGCTGATGCCGCGCCCGGCGCCTGCCTGTGCCGCTGTGTGGCGCCCGGCCAGTATGCCGCTCCTGGCCTCTGAGTTTCGGCGCCTGCCTGTGCCGCTGTGTGGCGCCCGGCCGGTCTGCCGCTCCTGGTCTCTGAGTATCGGTGCCGCGCCCGGCGCCTGCTTGTGCCGCTGTGTGGCGCCCGGCCGGTCTGCCGCTCCTCGTCTGTGAGCGGCGCTGTCGGCCGGCAGGTTCCTGCTGCCGCTGCTGGCTGTCCTGAGCGGGGAGCATGGCCCGGACGTGGGCTCGATGCTGGTCAGCTCCGGCCTGCTGGCCACGGCGCAGACCCTGCTCCGGCTGCTCGGTACGGCCCCTCGCCGCGGCGCGCGCCACGGCCGGCCCGCCCCCGGACCGCTGTCATCGGCTGGACATACACTGAGGGCTGGATGGAAACTCAGCCTCGAGTGGGATGCATTTTCTTGGCAAAATGTTGATGTGGTGTCATCAGGAGCAATGCCATGTGGTTGAAGTACATATAGTCTGCTTTAATATTGTGTATGACTTTCGTTACTTTTGCTCTTACAGCACGATCCTCGCTGTCATTAAGCTGCCCTACTCCCTTGAGTGGGAAATATTTATCTTTTATTTAATGTTAGCTAATTCAAAGCTGGTGTGTATGTATGCATCTTGACTGCATGGGCTGCCTACATTGCCTGTTGGCCAGCTGCAGCCCAGTGCCCCCCCCCCCCCCCCACGCCTTCGCTGACGCCGCCCCGCTGGCGCCAGGTCCGGACCCGTCCGGTGGGCCGGAGGAGCCGCTCTCGGTGCCGGCCATTCTGGAGGAGACGGTCGAGCGGCAGCGCTCGCCGCAGTACCAGCTCACCGGGCCCGAGATGGCCGCGCTCATGAAGATAGGCACGCGCGTCGTGCGCGGCGAGGACTGGAAGTGGGGTGACCAGGTCAGCGGCTGGCGCCATGGGGAAGGGGGGAGGGGTGAGGGTCGGCTCGTAGATCCGAGTTCTTTAGACGCACGTTTGCGACTTAAATGGATGTACTGAGTTTGTGGACCGCTTCTTCTTTCGACCGACGGCCAGACCGTCGATGGATCACACCCATCACGTGAAACACCATTGCTAACATTGGTGAACTCCATTTCGGTAGTTTTCTGCTCGTCTTCGTTGCATCGTCCACGCCGGTGGGGTGAATTGCCTTTGGCAATACCGGGTGTCATGGCAGTCAGCGTCTGCCGCGCCATCTGGCGGCCGTGCCGGATCCTCGGTGCGCTGTGAGACGGCGCCGTGTCGGGGAGCCCGCGTCTCTCGTCCGTCACCGCCGCGTGCCCGGCCGCTCCTCTGGGCCGCCGTGACCGATGTGGCGCGCTGGCTCGGCGCAGGACGGGCCGCCGTCCGGCGAGGGCGTCGTCATCGGAGAGCTGGGCGAGGACGGCTGGATCCGCGTCCAGTGGGACAACGGCTCGGCCAACTCCTACCGCATGGGCAAGGAGGGCCGCTACGACCTCAAGCTGGCCGACGTGCCGCAGCCGCTCTCCTCCGACGACGAGGACGACGACGACGACCTCAGTGAGTCTCGGCCGAGACTGTGGACGGCCTGAGTCGCTCGGCCAGACCGCTCCCGTCATGAGAGTTGTCGCTCTGTCCACGTCCAGAGTTGTCGTTCTGTCCATGTCCAGAGTTGTCGTTCTGTCCACGTCCAGAGTTGTCGTTCTGTCCACGTCCAGAGTTGTCGTTCTGTATGCCCACCCACGCCAGCGTCAGACAGCCTCGCTCTCAGAGCATTTCTCTAATGCCATTCACGCACCGTACGCTGGTTTGTGGTCTCCGCCGCATGAGCTGGGAGGCCCGGTGTCTGTATCCTAACCCCTAACGCGATGTTTGACCCACGCTCAGTTACGGCCACGACTTCGCTGTCCTGTTCCATCTCTTCCGTGTCCTTTGCCGTCTGTACCGCGTCCTATGCCGTATGTTCTGTGTCCTGTGCGATAGGTTTTGTGTCCTGTGCCATCTGTTCCATATCCTGTGTCATAGGTTCTTTGTCCTGCGCTATCCGTTCCGTGTGGAGATAAAATTAATCGGACAACCAGAATGGCCAATTCCATCACCAAAATATGCATCCTGATCACCAACTGAAGTTGCATGTCGAAACGGCCAGTTTATCACGAAAAGGCTGAGTCATTACTATTGATGCCAGTCAAAATCTGCTACAGTAAACCAACCAGGCATCAGGGCTTAAACCTCCGATACGGGTGGAAGGACATGAACAATCACCAAAACAAATGAAATTCAGGTGCCCTGAAGAGCCCATATTTGGTGCTAGAGTCCAGGAGTGGCCAGACCATTCTAGTGTCTCATTGTCGACTTTTTCATCGAGATGTCTCTGATTTCCATTCCATGTTAGGCAAAGGGACATGGACCAACACAAGTGGCTCTATGGTATTCAGAGCCCCGTCCCGCTCCTCTTCAGCAAGATGTGCCTGCGGTCGGCTCGGAGTCCCTTGCCGACACAGGCTCGCCTGTAAGGCTCTCTGTGCATTAGTACAGGAAGCCACATTGTTTAAGGGGTTCCGGCCAATGCAGGAGGACTTCAGTAACAACTGCAGACACTGGCCTTGTCCCTGCTTCGTAAATGGGACCCCAGGCTTCAAACTGACTCAGAGCCAAGTACTTAACATTGGTGATTTCGGACCTACATAGACGCTTTTGTAGTCCCGGGGACCCCCGACAGGCGCGACGAGTCCATGTGGCCGACCTTGAGGGACCGGGCCTTCGCCACGGAGCTGCTCCCGGCCAACCCTTCGGACCTTCCAATCAGGCCGTTGATAGTCTGTGCCCAGGGTCCCGAGAGCCACTCACGGCTTACCGGGAGGATATGTCCCCTGTGCCTCCCCTCCCCACCACCTGGCTTCGCCCCCGATGTAAAGGTATGTACGAAACTCAATGCTAGTCAGCGACTCGCTCTCAGGACGCGACTCCACTGTGAGTAATGGCGTCTGCGTCCCAAGATATTGGCAAGTTGATGCCAGTTTGGTTTAAAATATTGCCGTTGCTTTTGCCGTTGGGCTCAATATCCTAAATTCTGATACAAATTATCGATTTCCTTTTATATCTGGGTGGTTTGTTTCAGCTATCTGGTGAAACCCCAGCCAGTCCGGTGGAAATGACGCTAAACATCTCCTTCTCGTATTTGTTGGCTTGGGTAGGGATTACGGAAAAAAAACGGCGGTGAAAACATGTATATGGGTGGCAATGATCCAATCGATGGTGAAATGTTCATTTTGGTTGTCATTCTTCCGATCTGGCAGAAGTATCCATTTTAGTCATTTTAATTCATTTTTGGTGACCGGTTAATAGGGAACCTTTGGTGTCCTGTGCCGTCTGTTTCGTGTTCCGTTTCGTCCGTGAGGGTGGTTAAAGCACCGCTAGCGCAATGTTTTACATGCGCTCAATCACGGCCACGACGTGGCTGTCCTGTGTCATCGGGTACGTGTTCTGTACGGTCAGTTCTGTGTCCTGTGTCATCTGTTCCTTGTTCTGGGCCATCTTCCGTATCCTGTGCCATCTGTTTCGTGTGCTGTGCCATCTGCTCCGTGTGCTGTGCCAGCTGTTCAGTGTCTTGTGCCAGCTGTTTAGTGTCCTGTGCCATCTGTTCCGTGTCCTGTGTCATCTGTTCCGTGTCCTGTGCCAGCTGTTCAGTGTCCTGTATCTGACACGTGTGGCGCCTTCTCGGCGTCCATGGGCACTATCCCGTGTCCAGTGAGCTGATCTGGCGTCCTTGTGTCACACCACTGACGCAGTGTCGGCAGTGGCGTGCGCCGAGTGCCGTGTCAGCGTGTGGTGGTGGTGACGCGGCCGCGCCGTGTCCGCAGCGGCCACAGAGGCGCCATCCGAGAGCCGACAGCCGACCAGCCTGTTCCGCCAGAGCTGCCTGCGGTTGCTGCAGGCCCACACGCTGGCGGCCGGCCTACACGGCGAGGCGACGGCGCCCGCCAGCGTGCATCGGCTCACGGCGCTCATCAGGGACATTGTCAGGGTGAGGGCGACGTCCCCGGTCAGGGGTGTCCTCAGGGTGAGGCCTGGCTCCCGCGTGCGTCCGGGTGAGGCCAGCCTAATCAGCGATGTCATTGTCAATGCATACTCCGCCTGGGGCCTTTTTGTCATTGGTTGTAGGGCTCTACTATTTGATCATTATATGATAGCGCCCTGCCATCATTATCTCCGCGTAATGATCTACATACCTCTGATACCAGTCAAGAGTTCTCCTGTTCTCCTTCCTTCTGCGGACCGCATTATGGCGCTGTCCTCGCGGCTGGCCGTCGACCCCCCCGGCCAGGCCAGACCGGCGTCTGACCGCTGTGCCTGACCCGCGCCCCCGCCGCTGCCGGCAGCACGGCCGCACGGAGCCGGCCTCGCCTCTGCAGGAGCCGGAAGCGTCGCTGCACACGCAGCACCGCAGCTGGGCCACGCTGCCGCTGGTGCGGGCCGTGGCGGGCTGCTCGCCGGCCGTACAGCGCGCCCTCTGCCGGCCCGCCTGGCTCACCCTGCTGCTCGACAGGCTCGAGCCGCACGTGCCGGTGAGGGGGCGTCACGCAGGGATGGAGGGCTGCTGGTGTCGACAGGCTGCACCCGGTATTCGTGCACATGATGGTGCGGGCGCATTAATTTGTCGTCACGGTGCGGTGCCAATTGCGGGGGCTCGTAATCAAAACGGGATCCACTGTAACATCAGTCGTCGTAATCAAAACGGGATCCACTTTAACATCAGCCGTCGTAATCAAAACGGAATCCACTTTAACATCGGTCGTCGTAATCAAAACGGGATCCACTTTAACATCAGTCGTCGTAATCAAAACGGGATTCACTTTAACATCAGCCGTCGTAATCAAAACGAGATCGTCTTCAGCATCCCTTCTGGTCATCAGCATTAGACTGACTGCAGTGGCGTGTTGTGGGTGGTTCTGAGCGGGTCTGACACCCGGCCTGCCCTCCCTGTGTCGTCGCCCGGCCCGCCCCGACCGTCGGCGCGGCGTGCCCTTGCGCAGGTGGAGGCCCAGCTGCAGAGCGTGCTGCTGCTGTCCTCATGCCTGGCCGCCTGCCGCGAGCCGGACCAGATGCGCGCCCTGCTGCACCGCCTGCTGACGCGCATGGGGGAGGCCATGCTGACTGGTGCCAACGAGGCCAAGCTGGCGCAGGGTGCGTGGGGTGCGGCCGCTCTGGGCGCGCCGCCTCTCTTGATTGGGACACGACTGCAGCGAAGCTGGAGCGGCTCTCTGGTCGTCACGCACGTGTGGTGTCAGTCGCTGGCTGATTGGCTTCGGCGGCTCGTGCCGGTCAGACCCGGCGTCGTGTGGTCGCTGGGGCCTCTGCGCGATGCCATTTGGAGGTCAAACAGCCAGGCATCACCAAAGTGTGTGTCAGCCCTTGGGCATATTGCGTGCGGACGTTCTGTCGGGCCGCGGATCCGTCTGTGGCCGTTAGGCCCATGTACAGAGGCTGCTGCGGCCCGTCTCCGTGTGAGCGTGACGGCGACGGTGCTGCAGGCGGGGACGGCCTGGTGCGCGCCGGCGGACGCCATTCCCTGACCGCGTCGCTGACCTCGACGCTGGCCGAGGAGGTGGTGGCGCTGGTGCGTCGGCTTCACGCGCTGCCCCACTGGACGGCCGTCACCAGCCAGTACCTGGCCGACTGCGTGGCGGCGCTGCCCGCCCAGCCGGCCGCTGATAATGAGGTGAGGCCGCGCTGCTGCGTGCCTCACTGCCCGTGTCTGTACTCTATAACGAGGTCTAACTTGCTACGGAAGCAGCCGGACGTGTTGGAGCCGTGACCAGGTCATCTGGTCGACCAGCTGTGCTCCTTGACTGAGTTATGGTCGAATGAGGCAATGCTTGATAACTGATCCCATGTTTTGTCCCAATGCGCCGCTAACGCCTTCCGCCACACCAAGCCGACACTTAACAACGTCCATGGCCACACCCGACCGTACATACCACTGCACAGCCTTCTCCCGTGTGAAGCGTGGTCGTTGCGCCGGCGCGTGGCCACTGGTGGTACCGGTGTCGGGCCGTGACCGCGTGGTGGCGGCAGCCCGCCGCCGCCGCCGCCCCCGGTGCGATGCCACCGCCCGCGTGACCGGGCCCCGTGCTGCACAGGCGCCAGCCGAGTCGCCTCCGGACGACGCCTCTGGAGACTACCGCCAGGCGGCGCTGCTGGCGGCCGTCTCCGTCGTCGGCGGCGTCGACCCGCGGCCGCGGCTGGGCGGCCTGGTCCGTGTCGGAGCCGACAACCGTGGTGAGTGTCGGCTGGCAGCACGGGTCAGAGTCGGAGCTGAACGGACCAACAAGGACGCGCTATATGTCCGGTATTTTGCAGATAGCGATGGCCATCTCGAGTTGTCTCTAGCCAGATGGCGATGGCCATCTCGAGTTGTCTTGAGCCAGATGGCGATGGCCATCTCGAGTTGTCTCTAGCCAGATGGCGATGGCCATCTCGAGTTGTCTCTAGCCAGATGGCGATGGCCATCTCGAGTTGTCTTGAGCCAGATGGCGATGGCCATCTCGAGTTGTCTTGAGCCAGATGGCGATGGCCATCTCGAGTTGTCTTGAGCCAGATGGCGATGGCCATCTCGAGTTGTCTTGAGCCAGATGGCGATGGCCATCTCTGTGGTTGTTACGAGTAGTGGTCCTGCTCGCGCTGCCTGCGGTCACTGCGTTCGCTGCTGTGAGTGGAAAACATCGCCCTGGAGGTCGAGCGTCATGAGAGGATTTCTGCCATGAACCCCTATGCGTTCGTGAATGCGTATACATGCGTGGTGTGCGCGCCATCACGGGTTTCGGCGTGGCTTTACCCGCCTGTGGAGTGAGACAAATAATTACAATCGCGGCCGCTAGCGAGAGTAGCATACCCCAAGTTAGTTCGCTTTGTTTACGCCATCGACGCTGCACATACTGCTTCAAGCATGCGGACTTGGCATTGTCTTAAACGCGCTGAATTTCGTCTTAGCGCCGTCTGCGATCACTACGGTGGTCCTCCAGCGGCCGCGGAAACTGCAGGACTGTGACGCATCTCGTGACGTCATCGGAGAACTATGACCATCGTGTCATTGTATGACGCCAGACAAATGACTGGCGCTGATTGGCGCGGCCACAGCGACAGCAGGTGCCGTGGATGGGGCCGGTGTCCTTATCGAATGCCATTGTCCTCATTGTTGTTAATGGTAGCGGTCAGGAGTCATTTGAGTGGGTGATTGGCGTCACGCTGACCACCTCAGCTCAGTGATCAGCCTCGCTCACCAGACCAGCTGCAGCGGTATCGCCTCAGGCTACGTGACGTCACGCGTCGAGTTCAGCTGACTCACCACCATCATGGCGCCCCTCTGACAGCGCGTGTCGCTTGTGTGTCGCACCTCCCTGCCGATGTGGGGCCGCCTGCGCCGGTGCGCCGGCGCTGGGCAGGCGCTCACTCCGGCGCCGTCCTGACGGCGGCCGCCTGCGCCGGTGCGCCGGCTCTGGGCAGGCGCTCGCTCCGGCGCCGTCCTGACGGCGGCCGCCGCGCGCCGGTGCGCCGGCGCCGGGCGGGCGCTCGCTCAGGCGCCGTCCTGACGGCGGCCGCCGCGCGCCCGCGTGTGCCGCAGGCCTGGTGGTGCGGCTGGGCGTGCAGAAGCTGTTCGTGCGCCTGCTGTGCTCGGGCGAGCTGAAGCGGCTGCCGGTGGCGGCCGTCGTCGGCCTTCCGTCCGTGCCGCCCACCGTCGGTCAGTCGACCCCCGCCGGCGGGCCCGCCGCCTCCGCGCCGATCGGCGGCAAGGGCACTGGTGGCTCGATGGCGGCTGTGCTTCTCGCAGATTCCGTGTCGCATGCCCTTGTAACGATTATTGAAAACTGGGAAAATGCGTTTGCAAATGGAGACGGATAAATGGTATCGTCGCCTGCGTTTTTGGAAGCAGCTCCTTGTTTTAGTGTTGCGGCCTGTCGATAAGGCGTCGGACAGTGTGAGCGTGTACTTCTGATCTAGCTATTTTTGTCGTTACTGAACTTCGTGCGCATGGCCACGTTGGGTGCCACGCTTGGCTAAATTATTGGGAAGACATGCCCGTGCTCACAGCACTGGCGTTCCAACCCACTGACATCGTGAGCCTGTCGCCACCACGGCCGTGTCCCGTCTCCCTCAGAGAGGTTCCCGACGTCGGATGACTTTATCCAGATGTGGGCCAACCTGCTGCTGTTCGCCATGGAGGCCCCACGGGCGGAGCAGATCAAGTCGCCGATGCAGGGTAGGTCGGGACCAGCTTGTCAGTGCGGCCGGCGCGCTGGCGTGCCGTCTGGATCTTGTAATGTGTGCTGAGGAGGGTTTTGCCAGACATGTCACGGTACGTTGAACCGCTTCTGGTGTCCCTCCGTGGCTGACCCGTGCCGCCGTACTGACCCTGACCCCTGACCCCGGACCAGCAGCGGCCGTCAGCCGCGCCGGCGTGCGCCAGCAACAGCAGCAGGTGGCGGCGCTGGCCGCCTGCCGCCAGCTGACGGGGCGGCAGCAGCTGCTGCGCCGCGTCCTGCAGAGCCGGCAGCTGCTGCAGCGGCTCACGGCCGTCGCCACTCAGCCCAGTCCGGTCAAAACCGGGTACAGCCCGCTCGAGATCGAGGTGCGGCAGGCTGTAGCGCTGGTGGATAGTCGGGGACTCTGAAGTCAGCGATCGTACGGTCCCGATGTGCAGTGCCATTGGTATACCGGTTGGGAAACTGGCATGACTTAACAAACAATGCCATTAGATAGTTGCTGGACGTTTTCAACCAGAGTCTCGCCTAATCCCCAAAACATTGTTTTGTACCTTTTCCAGCAATTCTTGCTGTCAACGCCTGCTTGCCCGTGCAACCCGTGCATTGCCGTCTGGTTTCTGACTCGATGAATGTGGCAGCATTGCAAGCCCTTCAGACAGACAGCCATGGCACCCTGACCAAACTCCCTCCCAACGGCCAGTTGTCAGCACGCTACCACTTCCGCTCCCATCCACCAGTGTCTAGCGCCCTGACCACTTCCCCTCTCTGTTCCCAGGTGGCAGCTCTGGCGCTATCGCAGCAGCTGGCGTACGACCTGCACCACGCGCGCCCGGAGCTGGGCGCGGCCGACACGCCGTCGCTGGGTGCGGCCGGCGCGGCGCGCTCGTCGCCGCCGCGCCGCAAGCGCCGCGCCTCTTCACCGCCGCCCAGCGAGGTGGTGCGCCAGCTGATTGAGATGGGCTTCGTGCGCCGCACGGTGGAGCGCGCCCAGCAGTGCATGGGTGCGTCGGCGGCCGGCGCAGAGGCGGGGGCGCGTCCGGAGCTGGGGCAGAGGCGGGGGCGCGTCCGGAGCTGGGGCAGAGGCTGGGGCGCGTCCGGAGCTGGGGCAGAGGCGGGGGCGCGTCCGGAGCTGGGGTAGAGGCTGGGGCGCGTCCGAAGCTGGGGCAGAGGCGGGGGGTGCGTCCGGAGCTGGCGGGGGCGCGTCCGGAGCTGGGGCAGAGGCGGGGGCGCGTCCGGAGCTGGGGCAGAGGCTGGGGCGCGTCCGGAGCTGGGACAGAGGCGGGGGTGCGTCCGGAGCAGGGACAGAGGCGGGGCGCGTCCGGAGCTGGGACAGAGGCGGGGGCGCGTTGGGAACTGGAGCTGAGGCTGGGGCGCGTCCGGAGCTGGGGCAGAGGCGGGGGCGCGTCCGGAGCTGGGACAGAGGCTGGGGCGCGTCCGGAGCTGGGGCAGAGGCGGGGGCGCGTCCGGGGCTGGGGCAGAGGCTGGGGCGACCTGACGTGGTCGCCTCTACTGAGGACTGGGGTTGGGGTGTCGGGCTTCGCGAAGGCGGTTATGCTGCCGGGCTTTGAATGCAGACCGCGTACTCGATGCTACAGCTGTTGGATACTGGCCAACAGCTGTGGTGTGACCGCGTACTCGATACTACAGCTGTTGGATACTGGCCAACACTGTGGTGTGACCGCGTACTCGATACTACAGCTGTTGGATACTGGCCAACACTGTGGTGTGACCGCGTACTCGATACTACAGCTGTTGGATACTGGCCAACACTGTGGTGTGACCGCGTACTCGATACTACAGCTGTTGGATACTGGCCAACACTGTGGTGTGACCGCGTACTCGATACTACACCTGTTGGATACTGGCCAATACTGTGGTGTGGAGTTGGAAAGGATGATCATGTATTATAACAAGTCAGGGTGGGATAGCATTTAGAGAAGAGTGCTGGAAAAAACTCATGCAATTGACTTATCCTTTGATGACGAGCGTAGAGACGCCCTGTTTTGTGTTGAAGGCGTTACCGATGTCGCCGTGCCGACGCCATTGTTCGGGGGGCGCGTGAGCCTGGCTCTGGCCTGACCGCGCTCCGCGTCTGGCCGTCAGACGGCGCCCCGAGCGCGGAGTCGGTGGTGGCCTGGATCCTGGAGCACCTGCCCACCAGCGGCTCCAGCTCCGACTCCGAGGAAAGCTCCCTCTCCTCCGACGACGAGCGCGAGGAGGAGGAGGACGACGACGAGGACACGAGCACCTCCGACTCGGCGGCCGCCGGCGCCACCGGCTACCAGGCGCCCGTGCAGGTGATGATCTGGTGCTCTGGAGGTATTAGTGGTGGGGAGCAGTAACACCCACGCTTTTACAAATGATAACTATCCACGCTTTAGGCAGGCGGGTGGGATCCATATCAGTCCACGCTTCACGTGCACATCCTGTGTATGATAGTTGTGGTGCTAGCTTAAGTAATTACCGGTGATAATCGCAGATTATTATTGATTATTATTATTGATGATTATCTTGCATGATTATCGATGTTATAAGTGTTTTAACTCCTGTTAAAGTTGTGGTAGGCGTTCGGAGATAGAAGGCATAGTGTTGGGCATTTCATGACAACAAATTTGTATGCACCCATATGTGACCACCGAAATACACGCAAATGTGGTGCACGCGCAGTGAACTGATAGTCCGTATCATGACGTGTCTCCGCTCGGTGGGCCGGACGTCGGCATGGCACGGCTCCCTAGACGATACAGTTGTCTCGCCGGACGGTCTCCGGCCGGACCCCGAATCTCTGGCCGGACCCGACGGTGCCCTCTCCGCCGCCAGCCGGGCCCGGCCGAGGCGTTCCGCCGGCGCCACCAGTTCGCCTCGAACGACGACTACGCCCTGTACGTGCGCACGCACATCGCCGTGGGGCTGACGGTGCGCTGCTGCCGCTCCTACGAGGAGGTGCACGAGGGCGACGTCGGCACCGTGGTCAAGCTGGACCGCGACGGCCTGCACGACCTCAACGTCCAGGTGCGCCGCCCGCCCTGCTCGCCCGCCGCCCTGCTCGTCCTCCAGACTCGGCTCGGCGCTGGCTGTGGGCGCCCGCTGTGGTGTCCGGCGTGGAGGGTTAACAGCCGCCCGCGTTTTGTTCGGGCAATGTAGTTTCAGAACAGCGTGGGGTGCTTTGGATGTTTGGCTGCTACCACGTCCGCTGCCGTGTACGCGGCCGAGAGGAGAAGGTGGCATCAGTGCCTCTGCTGACTGGGTAGAGCTAGCGGCATCCGCTTACGTCGCGATGCGGTGCAGTGTAGAGTCCGCTTCACCGCGCTACCCCATTACGGCGTGGTGGCAGTCGTGAACCGCTTTGTGTGGATCGTTGCCGCCGGTTTCCCCCAGCGGTCGCCTCGTGTGTGTGTGTGTGTGTGTATGGTAGTGGGAGACGGAACACGGCGCCCGTTGGCCGGCATTCCTTCCTGACGGCCCGGTCCGACCCCAGGTCAACTGGCAGCGCAAGGTGGGCACCTACTGGGTGCGCTACATCCACGTGGAACTGTTGGGCGTGGCGGCCGTGGCGGCGGCCACCACGCACGTGCGCGTCGGTGATCGTGTGCGCGTGCGACCGGCCGTCCACACGCCCAAGTACAAGTGGGGCTCGGTCACCCACCGCAGCATCGGCATCGTCACAGGTCAGCGAGAAGGGGTGGCAGCGGCGTGCGAGCGGGTTACGCGGCCGGACTGCGGGCTGCTGTGTTAGCTGGCAGGGGCGTCAGCAAGCCACCGTCGTGGGAAGTGTTGGATCTGTTAGGCTTCGGATTAAAGCACATTATTAACATCGTGAACTACTGTATGCGGTGTGCGAGTGGAGCATACCTTTCTGGCTGGAGCTGGTGATTTCTGAGGGCTTCCATCTGGCTGCGGCTACCGGGGCCGACCGGAGTCTTCTGCCTCTTTATTACTGTTCTTACTGTATTACTGTATTGTTGCTGTTCGGTGTGTAGGTGTGTGTCGCTGGTAAGTTGTAGACCCCACCCCAGCCATCCGAACAGCAATTACCACATTTGCGACTGACTGTTTTCAATATATATATATATATATATATATATATATATATACATATATATATATATATATATATATATATATATATATATATATATCTCTCTCTCTCTGTACATAATGCATATGCATATATATCATTTGTAGCAGCAGCGGTGATATGGTCACCGCCACCACCACTGGCTCTCCTCCGACGGTCGCGTCTGTGTAGCAGCAGCGGTGATATGGTCACCGCCACCACCACTGGCTCTCCTCCGACGGTCGCGTCTGTGTAGCAGCAGCGGTGATATGGCCACCGCCACCACCACTGGCTCTCCTCCGGCGGTCGCGTCTGTGTAGCAACAGCGGTGATATGGCCACCGCCGCCACCACTGGCTCTCTTCCGACGGTCGCGTCTGTGTAGCAGCAGCGGTGATATGGCCACCGCCACCACCACTGGCTCTCCTCCGACGGTCGCGTCTGTGTAGCAGCAGCGGTGATATGGTCACCGCCACCACCTCTGGCTCTCCTCCGACGGTCGCGTCCGTGTAGCAGCAGCGGTGATATGGCCACCGCCGCCACCACTGGCTCTCCTCCGACGGTCGCGTCTGTGTAGCAGCAGCGGTGATATGGCCACCGCCACCACCACTGGCTCTCCTCCGACGGTCGCGTCTGTGTAGCTGCAGCGGTGATATGGTCACCGCCACCACCACTGAGTCTCCTCCGACGGTCGCGTCTGTGTAGCAGCAGCGGTGATATGGCCACCGCCGCCACCACTGGCTCTCCTCCGACGGTCGCGTCTGTGTAGCAGCAGCGGTGATATGGTCACCGCCACCACCACTGGCTCTCCTCCGACGGTCGCGTCTGTGTGCGGCGCCGGCAGGCATCAGCAGCAACGGCCGGGACGTGACCATCGACTTCCCGCAGCAGGGCAACTGGACGGGCCTGCTGACCGAGATCGAGCCCGTGCCCACCAGCCACCCGGGCGTCAGCTGCGCCGTCTGCGCCGCCGCCCCCATCGTCGGTGAGTGGCGCGGGCACGCCGGCGGGCCGGGTCTGGGCGGGGGTGCGGTGCGGCTCGCGGCGCAGGCTCTGTTGCACACAGCGCAGGGGAGGTCGTTCCAGCTCAGGTCGGTTTGGTCGCTGGACCTGGCGGCGCAGGAGGTCGACATGCGGTGAGGTTTGGTGCGGGGGTGGCGCTGGACCTGGCGGCGCAGGAGGCTGACCTGCGGCGAGGTTTGGTGCAGGGGTGGCGCTGGACCTGGCAGCGCAGGAGGTCGACATGCGGTGAGGTTTGGTGCGGGGGTGGCGCTGGAGGCTGCCGTGTGGACGAGACCGGGCGGTGGGTGAGGGAAAGCACCGATGTAGCACGCTCGCCGCACTGGCCATTGCCCTGCAATGGAGAGAGTTCGTCCTTCCTCTCCGGTGTTGGGTGGAAATGCCACTGCCAGACGGCCCTACCAACCAGGGATGTACCCAAGGAAAGGGACAAACCCCCTCCCCCCCCCCCGTGCCGATCGGTTGAAATAGATACGAGGTGATTTCGCTGGAATTTATTGGAAACTCACACGGCGTTGGAAAATAATGACTCGCCCTAAGAATAATGTTGCTAGGCGCCTGCTATCAGTCCAGAGAGAGAGAGAGGATCAGTAGAGTGGCGCCATCTGTGTACCGATGTGCCAGCGTGCCGGCGGCCTCTGTGGGGCTCAAGGTTATGTGCAGCTGCTGCACGGTGGTGGGTTGTGGTGGTTGCGGCTCAAGGCTGGCGGGTGTTGTGACATTCGTGTGAGAAGATTGTTGTCTTCAGCTGTTGATATCTGTCAAATGGCAGAGATGTCACGGCGATCTGTTTGTGCCCTCCACTCACGGCCATGAATCAGCGTAAAACTCTAAAAATGCCAGAAAACAACAGGTATCTGGTTACTTCATCACCACACTCTGTATGCAGGTACGTGGTTCTCGATTAATATAAACGAATGACCGTTTCCCTGTTAACCGCGGTTACCCAGACCCAACGGACCCCCGGCCCCATCCGTGCCACCCCTGCTTTCCAGTACGCCAGTGATGCTGGCGACATGCCCATTGATGGTGCGTTCGGCCTCCGTTCCAGGACCGCGTTACATCTGCAAGGTCTGCGACCGCTGGGACCTCTGCGAAAGCTGCTTCAGGACCACGCGTGGCCACCGGCACGGGTTTAACCGTCTGGTAGAGCCGGGTTAGTGTCAGAGCCGCCAGCCGGCCCGTGGCAGGGCTGACAACTGGCATACGGGGCCTCGTGCGGCAGCTGGTTGGCATTGTCCGACCCGCGGATGATAGACCACTTTGGTCCGGGCTGTCGACTTGCTTGAAGTTCGCCCCAAGCTGCGATCTGGCGTCTGCAGCAGGTCACAGTTCGTGTCGCTCAGCGCGCAGGCGGCCGAGCTCCGTCAGTCTGTGACGTCCCCAAGGAGCGGCGCGGCCCGCGGCCGCCGCCGGTCCGGCCGCGCTCGGCTCCAGACGGGGTCGTCTAGCGCGCGCGCCTCGCGCTCGGCAGGTGGCGCGCCGACGGCGGCCGGCCGACCGGGCCGCGGCCGCCGCCGGTCCGGCCGCGCTCGGCTCCAGACGGGGTCGTCTAACGCGCGCGCCTCGCGCTCGGCAGGTAGCGCGCCGACGGCGGCCGGCCGACCGGGCCGCGGCCGCCTGGCGCCCGGCGACTCGACCTCGCCCGGCGCCGAGGGCCTCATCACCGAGTTCCGGCGCTGCGTACGCGGCCTCTCCGTGTCCAGCCGCGAGAGCATCGCCAACAGACTGGCTGAGGACGTCAGCGGCTTCTGGCAGAGCTGCGGCACCCACGGCAAGGTACGTCACGAGGGGCTGCGGGGCAAGGTACGTCAGAAGGGGCTGCGGCACCCACGGCAAGGTACGTCACAAGGGGCTGCGGGGCAAGGTACGTCAGAAGGGGCTGCGGCACCCACGGCAAGGTACGTCACAAGGGGCCGCGGCACCCACGGCAAGGTACGTCACGAGGGGCTGCGGGGCAAGGTACGTCAGAAGGGGCTGCGGCACCCACGGCAAGGTACGTCACAAGGGGCTGCGGGGCAAGGTACGTCAGAAGGGGCTGCGGCACCCACGGCAAGGTACGTCACAAGGGGCTGCGGCACCCACGGCAAGGTACGTCACAAGGGGCTGCGGGGCAAGGTACGTCAGAAGGGGCTGCGGCACCCACGGCAAGGTACGTCAGAAGGGGCTGCGGCACCCACGGCAAGGTACGTCACAAGGGGCTGCGGGGCAAGGTACGTCAGAAGGGGCTGCGGCACCCACGGCAAGGTACGTCACAAGGGGCTGCGGCACCCACGGAAGATACGTTACAGGTTCCTGCAGCATCCATGACCAGCTACGGCACAAACTGCTGGCACGCCACGTATCTCTGACACTTTCTCCAGGTTTGGCACAAATAGCTTCAGCACTACATGCTGCTTCAGCGCCAAATACCGCTTCAGCACCGCATACTGCTTCAGCGCCACATACAGTTTCAGCACCCCATAATTACAGCTTCAGCACCCTCAGCGAGTGACGGCACACCCACGACAGCCGTGTTATGTATACGCATCATTTAAGTCACCAAATTCGGCCTCCCTGACACCTGTTAACTGGCTAATAAAACAGTGCCGAATTCTGCAAGGAACCATCTACTTTTGGGGTACTTATGTAATGTAGAGCACACCACAGATCTGGCTGCATTGGCCACCGGATGATTTCCCTCGGCGCTGGGCCGGCTGTGCAGGGGCGGGGTTCAGCTGTCGTGTCGCGTCGGTGCGTGGCGCCCCCTGACGCGGCCGCCGGGGCGCCGCAGCACTGGATCCGTCTGGAGATGCAGCCGGGCGTGACCGTGCACAGTCTGCAGCTGCTGGTCTCGCCCGAGGACGGCTCCTACATGCCGCACCTGCTGGTGGTGTCGGCCGGCGCCCAGCTGACGGCGCTGCGCCAGCTGGCCGCCGTCACCGTGGCGCCGCACGAGACCTGGGTCACGCTGCTTTACGACCTGGCCGAGGTACGGACGCTCGGCGTGGACCGGGGCAGCCGCAGACTTGCGGCGTCCCAGAACTGGGTTTCAGGCCTGGTCCGCGACGCGCAGGTCGTTCTGGTCAGGACCTAGAAGCAGGACCTAGAAGCGTTAGAAGTTCAGTTTGGATATGGTGAGGGATCCTAACTTGATCTAGATTTGATTAGTTTTGATGCAGTGTAGGATCTGATGTTTTGGTCAGGGGTCACACGGTCCTGGAGGGCTCGTTCGACAAGTCTCCATTTTCCGCAAGACGCACCGCAGCCCTCCGATGTCAGCATCATTATCATATCATACCATGCATCAGGATCAGTATGATTCCTCGGAACGGTGCTGCGCTGGTGCTGCCACTCCCGGCCGGTGCCGGCGTGTCATGACCGCCGCATGTCCGCTGTCGACAGTACCACCAGTACATCGAGATCACAGTGCGCGAGTGTCGCGAGGGCGGCATCGACTGTCGCGTGCACGCCCTGCGCGTGCACGGCCGACAGCGGACCGACGACGAGACGGGCGCCGCCACCGTCTGCTTCCTGGCCAGCGACGGCGAGGAGGTCAGCTCCGACTGGGGCCCATCGTCTCGTAGGGCTGCGGGCAGTTGTGGCAGGCCGTTGTAGTCTGACAGGAGGTGAAAACTTGCCCAATGCGCTAACCTCGTGGACGGCGAGGTGCTCTGTCGATGTCGATGTGTCGCAATTCGATTATAAAATATCGTGCAGCTGTTGTAGTGGCTATGGTGCCGTTGCCGGCGGCGCTGCCACTGACGCCTTTGATACGAGTGATGGGCCAGCCGGCGGTGTCGCTGTTGGTGCCGCTTCACCACCGGCCGTCTGTGACGCCAGGAGGTAGAGAGCGGCTACCTGGGCGGCCGGCCGGCGGCGCGCGGCGTGCCCGGGCCCGGCCTCCAGAGCCGCGTCTTCGTCTGGGGCCTCAACGACAAGGACCAGCTGGGCGGCCTCAAGGGCAGCAAGATCAAGCTGCCCGTGCCGTCCGAGCCGCTGAGCAAGCTGCAGCCGGCGCAGATCGTGGGCGGCAGCAAGTGCACCTTCATCGTGTCGCAGGACGGCAGGGTGAGCTCCGTGCGATACTGGTGTGCTGCCATCTGGCAAGACAGCCAGCCAGCGAAAGGGTTTGTTCTCTGCTTTGCCGAACCGTTTCGTCATTCGTCGCTGTCCTTGCTATCAATGCGTGCAAGGTTTGCGTACCTAGAGTCGCATGTCAGGCCTAAATGACAGCTTCAACCAGCTAGCTGTACACGAGTTCAGTTGGGGTGGTTGCCGTTTGTATAGTTAGTGTCGGGTGAGAATGCAGTCATTCTCATCGGGATGTGTATGTGTGTGTGGGGGGGGAGGGGGGGCATTCTCATCGGGATGTGTATGTGTGTGTGTGGGGGGGGCATTCTCATCGGGATGTGTATGTGTGTGTGTGGGGGGGGGGGGGGCATTCTCATCGGGATGTGTATATGTGTGTGGGGGGGGGGGGGCATTCTCATCGGGATGTGTATGTGTGTGTGTGTGTGGGGGGGGGGGGCATTCTCATCGGGATGTGTATGTGTGTGTGTGGGGGGGGGGCATTCACATCGGGATGTGTATGTGTGTGGGGGGGGGCATTCTCATCGGGATGTGTATATGTGTGGGGGGGGGGGCATTCTCATGGGGATGTGTATATGTGTGGGGGGGGGGCATTCTCATCGGGATGTGTATGTGTGTGTGGGGGGGCATTCTCATCGGGATGTGTATGTGTGTGTGTGGAGGGGGGCATTCTCATCGGGATGTGTGTGTGGTGTGGGGGGGGGGGGGCATTCACATCGGGATGTGTATGTGTGTGTGGGGGGGGGGGCATTCTCATCGGGATGTGTATGTGTGTGTGTGGGGGGGGCATTCACATCGGGATGTGTATGTGTGTGTGTGTGGGGCATTCTCATCGGGATGTGTATGTGTGTGTGTGTGGGGGGGGGGCATTCTCATCGGGATGTGTATGTGTGTGTGTGTGTGTGGGGGGCATTCTTATCGGGATGTGTATGTGTGTGTGTGTGGGGGGGGCATTCTCATCGGGTTGTGTATGTGTGTGTGGGGGGGGGGGGCATTCACATCGGGATGTGTATGTGTGTGTGTGGGGGGGCATTCTCATCGGGATGTGTATGTGTGTGTGGGGGGGGGGGCATTCACATCGGGATGTGTATGTGTGTGTGTGTGGGGGGGCATTCTCATCGGGATGTGTATGTGTGTGTGTGGGGGGGGGGGGCATTCTCATCGGGATGTGTATATGTGTGGGGGGGGGGGGGGCGTTCTCATCGGGATGTGTATGTGTGTGTGTGGGGGGGGCATTCTCATCGGGATGTGTATGTGTGTGTGTGTGGGGGGGGGGCATCCTCATCGGGATGGTATGTGTGTGTGGGGGGGGGACATGGTAGGTCATGGAACCTAACCAGGTAGGTTGCGCTCCGCACGAGCTGTGTTCGATTCCTCAACTGCTGGGTGCTCCTGTATATTGCAATCGTATTGTTAAAGCTTTGTGATGCTGTGTGCCACGCTCTTTCTCTACCACGATTACGCACACACCGTCGTTGATCGCGGTCGAAACAGAATATTTCATGACCGGATGCGGCGTGCGCCTCGCCGCCGCGCCGCCGCGCCGCCGCGCCGCCTCGCCGCCTCGCCCGCCTCGCCGCCTCGCCGCCTCGCCGCCTCGCCGCCTCGCCGCTCGCCTCGCCTCGCCCGCTGACACGTGCCTCCGCCGGCCGCCTGGCCAGGTGTACGCGTGCGGTGAGGGCAAGAATGGTCGGCTGGGCCTCGGTCACTGCATCATCACGGGCAGTCCGCGCCAGCTGACAGCGCTCGGCCAGTACGTGGTTAAGAAGGTGGCTGTCAACTCGGGCGGCCGGCACGCACTGGCGCTCACCGCCGACGGCAAGGTAACCGGGCCGCGCCGTCGCCGACGCCGACGCCAACGCCGGCCGGCCGAGGCGACGCGGGAGGACGACCCTCTGGTGGCGCGCGGGGTGCGGTGTGTGATACCCGACCGGCGGCTCGGCTGGTGGCTTGGTGACGACCTGCCGCAGCCGGTGATGAGGTCGACGCGTAGACGGTGTCAGCTGTTCCGTCCGGCTGATTGGTAGGCCTGCTGCTGCAGGTGCCCTGCTCTGACGCGGCGTGGGTCCGCTACCACGGCGTCATGTGCGGCACGGGCCGCTGGACGCCATGGCACGCTGTCCTGGGGGGCTTGTGGGGCCGGCCTGACGTACGCCGTAGACTTGACGCATGTTTACGTCCCTGTCTTTCCCGCACCGGCTGACCGTTCTGGGGCGGGCTGCACCAGCCGGGCCGGCCGGCCGTCCGGGCGCGGCCGGGAGGGCCCGCCCGCCGGCCCGCTCCGCGCCGCCTGACCGTCCGCCCCCGGCGCCAGGTGTTCTCGTGGGGCGAGGGCGACGACGGCAAGCTGGGCCACGGCAGCCGCCAGTCGTGCTTCAAGCCGCGCCAGGTGGAGGCGCTACGCTCGCGCCGGATCCGTGACGTCAGCGCCGGCAGCTCGCACTCGGCCGCCATCACCAGCTGCGGCCAGCTGTACACCTGGGGCCTCGGCGAGTACGGCCGGCTCGGACACGGCGACAATGTCACCCACCTCACGCCCAAGCTGGTCAGTGGCCGCGGGGGACGGAGGCGGCACCAGTCCGCACTGCTGGCTGGCCGTTGGCTTCACTGGCGAGGGGAGCAGGCGTTGGCTTCACAGTGAAGGTTGTGCTCATGCTGTAGCGGTTGGGTGTGGGGGATTGGTACTGCATGTATATAATGTTTTGACTTGCGTGCGTCGTTATAAACGTGCCCACCAAGGTATTAGTGTTTTACTATTTATGAGATCGGTATGTGCTTACGTAAACCATTTCTGACACCACTTTATTACGTTATGTGTAACCAGTGTAGATTTGCCGTGCATGTCGAAGCCACTGATGATGCAGTAGCGGAGAGCGCAGCGCTCGTTTGACCTCTGGCGCGTGGCAGGTGGAGGCGCTGGCCGACCACCGAGTGGTGCAGGTGGCGTGCGGCTCGCGCGACGCCCAGACCCTGGCGCTGACCGACAAGGGGCTGGTCTTCTCCTGGGGAGACGGCGACTTCGGCAAGCTGGGTGAGCGGCTGCTCGGCGGGCCGGCAGCGGCGGCTCGGCGAGGGCTGCGTGCCGGGTCGCCGGTGTGTGACGGCACACTGGTGTGGTGTGTACGAGAGGATCGGTGTGAACTAGGTGGTGTGTTCTGTGGGCTAGGTGTGAACTAGGTGAAATGTACTAGGGGATCGGTGTGAACTTGGTGTGTGTATTAGGGGGTAAGTGTGAGCTAGGTTGTGTGGACTAGGGACTTCGTGTGAAATAAGCGGTGTGTACTGGGGGATCGGTGTGAACTACGGGTGTACACTTGGGAATTGGTGTGAACTAGGGGTGTGCACTAGGGGATCGGTGATGGAGTTGAGTGATGGTGTCGCCGAAGATAGGATGGTGCTGCAGTGTTGTGCAGCACCGACACGTGCCGGCGGCGGGTCTGCATTTGCACGTGTCCATCGAGTTGTTTGTCCGTACTGGACCATGTGTCAGCAGGCCATTTTTGTCTTCGCTGCTCCCAGAACGTTAAAAGTCAAGCCCTTCGACATATCCCGAGCGTTTTCCTTCCCCCAAGCTGCTGATTCCCAGCATTTTCCAGGCGTCCTCCATGTAATGCTGTGTACGTCGGCAGGCCGCGGCGGCAGCGAGGGCTGCGCCGTCCCTCACAACGTGGAGCGTCTGAACGGGCTGGAGGTGTGCCAGGTGGAGTGCGGCGCCCAGTTCAGCCTAGCCCGCACCAGGACCGGACAGGTCAGTAGAGTGTGAGGTGTGCCAGGCGGAGTGTGGCGCCCAGTTCAGCCTGGCTCGCACCAGCACCGGACAGGTCAGTAGGGTATGAGGTGTGTCAGGCGGAGTGTGGCGCCCAGTTCAGCCTGGCCCACACCAGGACCGGACAGGCCAGTGCCCCCCCCCCCCCCGCACCAGTTGCCGGTGCCGGCAGACTTCGCTTCAGATGGGACGCGCCTGCGATGCTGTGCATACCGCGTGGGGTTATGCGGTGTGCGAAGAGAAGAAGGAAGACCTTGAGACGAAGCGGCACTGGAGGCATGCCAACATTCTGCACGGGATGTGATCAGGGGCGGGAGGTTTGATTCATGGCGTCATACGGAGCGATAGATATCTAATGCTTGTCGTGATTATTATGCAACTGCGAATATGCATGCTTTGTCGCGCCTGGCCCGCAGGCCAGTGTAGATTGACGCCAGCTTCTTCCCCGACGGTCTGCCCTGGCCTCGGCGGCGTCCGCCCCGATCCAGCCTCCTCGCTCTTGGGGTCCGCCGCCGACCGACCGCCACCGCTCGCTCCCTCTCCCCGCCAGGTGTGGACGTGGGGCAAGGGCGACTACTACCGACTGGGCCACGGCACCGACCAGCACGTGCGCCGGCCCAGTCAAGTGGAGGCGCTGCGTCCGCACAAGGTGGTGCACGTGGGCGTGGGTGCTCTCCACTGCCTGGCCGTCACCGACACGGGCCAGGTGAGCGGACGACGCTGGGGCGGCTGCCGGGGTCGGGGCCTGGCTGGGGCCAGGTGAGTGGACGACGCTGGGGCGGCTGCCGGGGTCGGGGCCTGGCTGGGGCCAGGTGAGTGGACGACGCTGGGGCGGCTGCCGGGGTCGGGGCCTGGCTGGGGCCAGGTGAGTGGACGGCGCTGGGGCGGCTGCCGGGGTCGGGGCCTGGCCCGGACGGGACGCCGAGCAGATTGACGGGGCAGGTGCAGTTCGGGCGCGATTTTTTATGAATGTCTTCGCAGATTGGCCGACTTGGCCGGCTAAGATTGTGTTCGCTTTTCTGTCGTATCGGATTTGTGGATTCTTTCCAGGCGCAGAGGCGCAGGGGCTGTTCAGCGCTGTTCCTGCCAGTGCAAGGCCGGGAAGTTGGCCGCGTTTGTACAGCTGTGTATGGTGACACTCAGATGCTAACCCGGTTCTGCAGTGCTCCAAATGTTTAGATGTAACAAGTAGTGCCAAATTGTAATTGTAATTTGACCATTGCTCAAAATGCCATTTTTTGTTTGCCAGCCATCCCTCGACCTGCGCGTCACCCCACCGTGACCTGTCTGTGACCTGTCCGTGACCTGTCCTCGGCAGGTGTACGCCTGGGGTGACAACGACCACGGCCAGCAGGGTAACGGCACCACCCAGGTCAACCGGAAGCCGACGCTGGTGCACGGCCTGGAGGGGGTCAAGGTGAGTCGGGAGCTACCACCGGCGCGCCACGCGCTCCCGGGCGTCTGCGGTGGCGGTGGTGCCGCCCAGCCGTGCTGTTACGCCGCCCCCGCTCCCCCTCTGTTGGCATCGTCACACCCCGCGTCCCCTTCGCTTCTCCGCCCGCCCCGCCGCCCGCTTGCGTCTCTCCGCATCGTTGACACCGCATGCTGTTGACGGTGACCTCGGGCGGGACGCTGACTTCTCTTCCGCCGGCGCCTCGCCGCCGTGATGACGCCACTGCTCCCTCTTGATCGCCTCCAATGCATCTCTGACACCCCCTCCTATCGGTGCCCCCCCCCCCCCTGCCGCCCGTGTTCCCCTCTGGTGGCTGTCCCCGCCGTGCCCCCCTGACCCCCTGCCACCCGTGTTCCCCTGCGGCGGCTGTCTCCGCTGTGCCCCCTGACCCCTTGCCGCCCGTGTTCCTCTCTGGTGGCTGTCTCCGCTGTGCCCCCTGACCCCTTGCCGCCCGTATTCCTCTCTGGTGGCTGTCTCCGCCGTGCCCCCCCCCCCCCCTGACGCCGCCCCGCCGGCGGTTGCAGGTGTCGCGGGTGTCGTGTGGCTCAAGTCACAGCGTAGCCTGGACGACACCGGAGCCGGGCGCGCCCGCCCAGCACGAGCCCGTGCTCTTCCCCACCGGCCGAGACCCGCTCGGCACCGACATGTTCGGTGAGCCGACCGCGTGCGCCTCCGCTGCCGCGGGACCGCGGCGGGGAGCAGGGGCGGGAGGGGAGCATTGGTGTGGGGACAGCTAGCGGAAATTCTCTCGATTTTAAGATGCCAAAGATGTCCGCGATTTAGAGATGCTTTCATGTCTTGTAAGTTCTGAAATAACGCGCGTGCATTATTTACGAGAGCCGCTTCCTGCTTCACCTCTGTTGGGGCGTAGGTTCCGTTAATAACTTTTTCCAGTCATTTTGCGCGTTGTTTGATATATATATATATATATATATATATATATATATATATATATATATCTCTCTCTCTC